GAGTAGTACCTTAACATACGTGTGGAAAGAGGAGGAATGCAGAAGGAGCTAGGCTGTAAATGAGACAGAACAGGAGCATTCTTGAACCCATTTTTAAATGACCTACTTCCACCATTCTCAAGCCATGCTTCTGTCCCTGGTATCTTCCTTATCTCCAGCCCAATTCTGAACCTCATTCATTGATTCATGCAGCATTTACTGAGTATCTGTGTTAAGGTGAACCATTGTACTGGTCTCTAGAGGTATGAAAATGACCAAAACAGTCTCTGGGCTCATGTGGCTCCCAGTCTAATGGAGGAGATAGATATGGTTTTCAAATGATGCTGAACACTTGGTGAGTGCTCTAGTTTAGAAACACCAGGTGTGTCCGTGGTGCCGAGGAGTTGAGAAGAACCTGGAGAACAGGTCACCTAACTCGGGCTGGTCAGAGAAGGCTTCCTCCTCTGAAGGCACTGCCTGAGCAGAGCTCTGAAGACCCCATAGAGGGTGTGTATGTGTTTGTTTGTGGGAGGGAGGCTGGGGACAGTACAAGATACAGATGGCACAGGAAGGAGGGAAACCGCGAGGCAGTGGCATAATGACAGCTAGCTGTGTTTTCCCACTTAGGTATTTTGAACATCCTTGGCATTCTGGAAATTTTCCTTTGAAAATAAGTTGAAATGGTGGCAGCCAGCTGCCAGGTGGATTCTTAAGGTTCCATTGACAAGGTGGCGTGGCACCTGGAGGAAGTGTTGTTCCTGGTATGGTTCAATTGGTTATCGTTGCCGGCGGCCCGGCCCTAGGTCTGAGTTGCTTCTGACAGATCGTTATTGTGGTCTCAGCCCCAGGCCCCACAGCCTGGGCCAGGTTCTCATTCTTGCATGAATGTAGCCGAGCCGGGAGCAGTTTCTCTGCCTGCATCTGATTGGAATTGTAAGTATGTGTTTAATGCTGGGTTCTTTTCTAAGTTGCTGCCAGTGGAGTCGCTAGCGGGCTGATGACGGCAGGCATGTGAAGTTAGAGACGCTGCCAGGGAACACCGGGCCCACTTGCTTTTATGTGGCTGCAGCTGTGACGATGACATGTGTGGAGGTCTTTAAGTGAGAGCATAGAAAATATGAAGTTGTTCTTTCTTTTCCACAATGTAAATATTGACTGTCCCCTTCCACTTTTAAAATCCATTATCTAGCTTATTTGTTGAAATAACAGAATTTAGACATTTTGGGACCGTATCTGATTTTTATGATTTTAAATCACTGGGGTCCAGATCTTAATCTTCACCTACCCCCAACCAATTTTAAGTCTTTCTGTATCTGTTTTTTTGTTGCCGTCAGTTTGAAGGCAGCCATACTTCATGACAGCTCCCTGTTTACACACCTACTACAGAATTTTAAAATGGAGGTGTTCCAGCAGGAACAGGGGAAGGTGTGTTTACTCACAGTGATCAGTGATCACATTATTCGTAACAATTTTCTGAGCATCCATTTGATTCACAAGCGTGGTTTTTGCTCAAATGTACGTGTTCAGGTCATTCTGTCAAGCCTTATGGTGCATTGATTTATCGCGGGCAGATTGTATTGTACGCGTACTGCTTCCACTTCTTTCTCTTCTCGGGAACAGAGTAACAGTACCAGCCTCTGAGGGTCCTGTGTGAGCTTGGGTGAGGATGTCAGTGAGCAGATGTGATTATGCAGAACGGTGTGTTTATTTGTTGAGTACTTACAGTCTAGGCTCATGCTAAGTGCTTTCATGTGACACTTCATTTAATCCTCCCTAAATCTGGGGAAGTACATGCCATTGTTCTCCCCTCCTCACACGTGAGGAAAGGTAGGTGCCATAGAGGCTGAGTGACTTGCTGAGGGTTAAAGAACTGATAAGAAGCAGTCAGGACTTGATTCTAGACCGTCCGGGTACGGGCTTTGCGGGTTTTGGCTTGTGCCGATGCCATGCGTCAGACCCAGTTTATTCATAGCGCAGAGATCTCTTCACACCTGCTGGCCAGACAGATCGCTCAGCCCGCCAGGCTGCAGGACAAGCAGTTAAGCATACAACAGAGAGCAACTTCAAGACCCTTGATGGCGTCTTGGATGGGAAGGGCATCTGTTTCTCTCGACTCAGGTGAATCCGGCCCTCCTCCACCTCCCTGGTCGGCCACGGCGTCCTTCTAGTCTGTCGGCACTCGGTGCTGCACTGCCTCGGTGGGCGTTGTTTAGGTGGGCAGACGTCTGTTTTGGCTACAAGCCACATGAGGAATTACTGCTTTATATAACAGAAGGATGTCTTAGCCCGAGCCGCATGTGCATGTGGTTTTATAACTCTGGTATTTTCTGTCTCTAATATGTGTATATGATTCTACTGGAGTGATTTGTCTTCACAGTGGTACAGATGCTCGTAGGCAATAATGATTTTTCCCTACCACCTTTAGTCATTCTTTAGCCAGACTGAATAAATGTTCGGCTTCTTCTCATCTTTATGAAGCGGAAGGCACTGGAATGCAATCATTTCTGCAGTGGCTTATGTGGTTTCCTAGGTGCTGTGTTCTGTGGTGACATGATGCCTGAAGATTTTAGAAGGGAGGAGGAGGAGGAAGCTGAAACCCTGTTGACTCAGAGTGATGCAGTGGGAAATTGAACAGCCACAAAGACTTACTGGCTGAGTCGGAGGAAATAGCTATCATCTATCTATCAATGGAGTTTAATATGTGATACTCTTTATGCAAAATATTTACTGACTTTATGCCAAACTTCTAATACCAGTATCTTGTGGTGTTTTTCTTTTTCTTCCTGTAAAATCATCTTTGCATAATTGCAAAATGGAGTATTTTTAAGCGGATAATGGTAGTTTTTGTGATTTTGTGATTCTTCTGAGTTTTGTATTAGTCATAAAATTGCTAAATACAAGTATCTTTTGTTTTGCAGATGTTTGGTTTTGAGTTCTGATGGTAAGGAGTTTGGATACTGAGGAATATCTTATTATGTGAAATTGCTTGCTTACTAAATCAGATAGAAGGTAGCAAGAATCCAGATATATACACCAGGAAAATGTATGTATGTCAGTTTGGTTTCTAAGTTTCAGTAGCGGGTCTACTTACACACCAGGGTTTTTCAGCCTTGGCACTATGGACATCTGAGAGCAGAGAACGTTTTGTTGTGGAGGCCTGGCTTGTACACTGTAGGGTGTTTAGCAGCATCCCTGGCCTCCACCTGCTGGAGGCTGGTAGCACGTCCCCCTCCCCACAGCTGTCATCACATGTCTCTAGACATGGTCAGATTACTCTGGGATTGGGGAGGATGGCCAGACTGCCCCTGTTTGAGAACCACCTGGCTGTGTACCATCACACGTAACTTCATGTGTAGATAATACGAAACTCAGAAGAATAGTAAAGACAGTTATAGCCACCAAGAGGTACTTCATTTCATCAGTTGCACGGAGATAATTTTTAAGGAGGAAAAAAAAAGGGCGGAAGAGATTGCCTTTAGAAGTTAAGCACAGAAAGGTCATTAAATATTTTATACAAGGAGACTATCTCATGGTTATGTGACAGCTATTTTCTTAGGCTTGGTTATGTACTGCTTCTTACATTAGCTGTTCTTCTCTGGAAATTACCAACAGTGCTTATTTATAGGGACTCTCAGTAGCCTGAGAAGCAGCTGCAGATCACCAGCGACTTCTTCCTTATCGATTACAGTTAGACCTCAGGTAGCCCTTCCTTTTGTTCCTGTAAAGAGCTGACATTCTCAAGGCAAGACTCTATCGGAGGACGTGCTTTAAGGTCCTCGGGCAGCTACCCTGATGGGGTTGCCTGTTGCTCTTGTACTTGGCCTCTATGCTAGTGTGGTCATTGATACTGGAAAACACCATTGGTCTAACCAGGCAGCATGTATGACACTATCCTTCCATTTTCTCATTTTACCTTCCCCCACACATTCTCTTAGTGTTCTTGTGTAATCAGTGGCGGTTACATGTCTTCTCATACATGTTGCTGTTCTCATTCCCCTCCTGTGAGGTTTTTACTTGAGGGCATTTACCTGTATTGCTTTATTCCATTACCACCATTTTGTGAAATTCACACTGTGAGCTGCATGCATACTGAGAAAGGTCATCCTTTTATTTTGGAAGTAAATGGAATGTGAGGCTCTTGAGTTTGTGTGTGTGTGTGTGTGTGTGTTAAGTTGTACACACAGCACACACAAACACACACACACATATTAACTGATGACGCCGGTATCCATTATGTAGTTATTTGGATGCAGAATTAGTCTGTTTAAATGACTATATCTTCCCAAAAACCTCAGTGTGTCTTTATTAAGACTTTCAGATCTTTAGACGTTTCTTCTGGTATACATGCATGGTATCACCTCTATGAAATGTAAACTCTCATTTTATATCCAAAAAGCATCATATTACTAAATTTATAACTTAGATTTTGTTTAGTGAACACATTTTTTTCTAAGTTGTTTACTTATTAGTCCTTTGATATTGGTGATGCCCCCATTAAGTAAGCAGTATGTTAATCTGATATATAGCAATTTTGACACAAAATTTGCTTTATGTTCAAGGTACTATGCTGTTTTATGCTATGACTATCATGTCTTTAGCACAGAAATAATAATGATAAATAAAATCTATTTTTTGTTATATTGCCATTTTGGAGATACTTAGTTATATTGAAATTTTCACTGAATCTTTTCTAGAATTAAATTCATATATCTTAGGAAGTAGCAGAGAAATTTCCCCTCAGGGTAAAGTCAGAAGAGGCACAAGTAGTTTTGATAATGAAATGGGACCTTACAGAAATATTTCTAAAGCAGATGTAATAATTCAAAGAAGAATTGAGTTGAAAAGGAAGGAAGGAAAAGAGAATTTTTTTTCTTTGACTATCAGTGTTTCGGGTAATGACAGTAGCAGAAAGCTAAAAGACCATTCTAATTTCCTTCTTTTTCCTGTGCATTATCTAGAACTATATTTTAATCTGTCTTGTAACCAAAGTAATGGAAATATGATTTTTATTTTCATGGTAGGAGATGGAATAAGCTGAGGCTGCGGGACAAAGAGAAGTCTCTGAAGCTGGAAGACGATTCTGAGGAGAGCGATGCAGAGTTTGATGATTTTAAAATGCCGGGTTTTCTGTTCAAAAAGCTTTTTAAGTATGTGCCTGTGTTCTTTCCTTTATATCTGTCATCAAGCCATTGTGTACAAATTGATATTTTAGATATGACACAGTAGTTACCTGTGGGCCCTTAAGGTACTTGCAGCAATTCATTGCAAATATAGATACTGTCAAATGAAATTTTAGCACGTGCTGCTCATTAAAAGTAGATGATAATAAATTGACTAAAGTGCGCATGGGGCACGTTTGGAAGCTGGTGAGTCTATGTGGACCTGTCTCGGCCGGCTAAAGCAACACGTTTAAAAGCCATCTACACTGAAGTATTTTTTTGTTCTTAGTGATTCTAAGGGACCAAACCTCTTAATTTCTTAAGTCAGATGAATTAAGTCAGAAGAGCTGTATATTAAAATCAATATTGGGGTGTTTTTTTTTTCTTCCGTGTAGAAATAAAAACTATTGAGAGTAGTTTGAGTGTTTTATATTGTACCTAAGGGTATAATACTTTTGAGCTGACCAAATGTGCATTTAAATATTTTATGTAGATCTTGTTCTAATGTCAAAAGAGAAGATCAAGGCAAACACCTTCAGTATTAAGTTGTTACTTGAAACTGACTATTTCATATGTGAAGTGGCCGAGTGTTCCAGATAACCGGAAGCTGTGTGATAGATGCTGCTAGCCTGCATGGCCTGGGCCAGTCCCCCATGATGAATGAAAATACTGAGGCGCAGCTTCAGTCTCATCACTCCTGGGATTTACTTAACAAGATACTTTAGGAAGACTTCTTGATGCATGCATATAGGAAGTTAAACCATTAAAGAGCTACTTTCTGTTTCGTAGCATCACTTGGTAATTGGCTGGAGGATGTTTAACTTCTTTCTTTGAGACGATTATGCTTATTCTCCTTCATAGATTTGGTTTTCTTGCCATGCCTTAAACTTGTGCAAGATGTCTATTTAAAAATAACATGCTTTTTATATTTCCCCTCAGAGGGCTTATATTATAGTTTTAATTTTTACCTTAGTGAGGGTAGGGTGGGCAAAAGGAGTTGGGAGTAGTTAGTTTATCCCGCTAAATATACAGGAAAGCTGAAATCCTAAAAATGTGAAGTATCTTGGTGGGGTTGCCATCACGGGACAGAAGCCGACCTACGTAGAAGCTCAAATCTGAATCGCTCTAGTAATTTTTGCAGACAAATCATTTTGTAGCCCAGAGAGGTGGCTACTTTGTTTATTGCTTCTTCCCAATGAAAATTAATTATGGAAGGGTATGTAAACAACATTTATTGACAATTCTTTTTATCATCTCTAAAGTGATTGCTTGTTAAGGAGCAGTCCAAATAGTATCAGTGTTGTACTAGCAAAAGGAATATTCACATTATAAATTAAATTGATTTAATGAAGATGGATACTTCCGCATGTGTAGTAAGTTGGTATGTATCCTCAAGAGTCAAGTTGAATGTGCATTGTTGTATAAGTGTGAGATTTTCTGCCAAAGAAATTTCAGTTATTAGAACCAAACTTTGCTTATTAAGAGTCTATAGGATTCAGCATATTGACTATTAACTCTATAGTGTAGTTATATTTATATAGTTGTATAAATACGTAGTTTATATAGAGGTGTATATATATAAATATATTGTTTATATAGTTGTATTTATATAAATATATATAAATTCATGTCAATTTGTTTTAATTAGTCTTAATTACACATTTCTGGAAACTATTTTGTGTTTATTTCTCAAAAATGGGTTTTTAAATATTTCATAAGTGTTATTAAACTTCTGTTCCTTTCCTTTCGTGATATGAAAAAAATTAATAGGATTGATAAGTTTCCATTTTTCTTTTATGATTAAGTATTAGCCAGGCCAGTTTAATGTTAAACCATAGATATATTTTTTGCTGTATTTATTGCACTCTGTGGAATTAAATTAACAGGGTATAGTTGTACACAAGGGAGTCAGAAGGTACAATTATCCATTTAAGTGCTATTTTCTGCAAAGTCATGTTTAACTTTTAAAATTCTATTTTGAAAGTTTGCCCAGCAATGCATTCATCTGTGTAATTTAGCAATCAGATGACAAACTTCAATCTTTGACCTTACATTTAGCCGCACTAGCAAATGCAATCTTGGGTTAGTGTGACAATGCCAAGATATACCAGTTATTTGTGGTTATTTTGTGTACTTCAGTCTCATGGGGGAAGCAGAGTATCGTCATTTTTTAACTATTGTACAATAGTTTGTAAAAAAATCTTTGCAAGGAGTAATTTTTTTATATGCTTTCCAAATTTTCTGAAAACTGTGTTCTGTAACCTGCATTTCATTGTTTATAGTATTTATTAGGAAATTAATGCAACAAAACCTAAGTCAGTCAGTGGCACTGCTAAAACCAGAACCCAGGCCCCCTAACGCCTCCTCCTCCAGTGACACACACCTGCCAGCCAGTGTGCTGATGCAGTTTGACGGCCATTGTAGAAAGAAAGAGCCACTCTTTGCCATCTTTGTACAACGCCCCAGTTATTGGGAATTTCTGTGTAGTGATGTGACTTACAGGGCCGCTTAGTAGATAATTTTCCTTAAACCATTTCTTTAGTGTTAATCATTTTATAAACACACAATCATATGCCCTTGGAGATGACATTTGTAGAGGAGGAGACACCCATCACACTATTATTGCCTCTCCTGGGTCACACAGGATGCAGCCGTCTTAAAGCCCTCCTAAACTCCCTTTTGGATACTGTGCAGGTTGCTACTTTTTATTCCTTTCATGGTTTCTCAAGTGCTCCTCTGGATTTTCCCCGCCTTCAGTTGATTGACTCCAAACAAAAAGTGTTGGACCGGTATTGGGGAAGCAGTGTGCTGTAGTGGTGGAACACTAGAATGACCCCTGGGAGATTTTGGTCCTTACTCTGCCTGGAGGAGCTGATCCCATAGTTGTTCTCCACTTCAGTAAAAGGAGGTTGGTTAATTAGTATTAAGTGCTTCTGATCATACATCAGTTTGTTGCACTATATCATTATCCACAGCTGAGATTGGTCTACTGTAGTGGTTCACAATCAGCTTTTAGTCCAGATCAGGCGTTCTCACCCTCAGCACAGCTGACATTTTGGACAGAATAATTATTTTGTTGTGAGGACTATTCTTTGTATTGTAGGATGTTGAACAGCATCTCTAGACTCTACCTACTAGATAACAATTGTACTTTACCAGTTTGAACGACCAAAAATGACTCCAGGAATTGTGCGATGTCCCCCAGGGAGCAAAATAATTCCCCATCAAGAACTGCTGGTCAAGATTATCTCTAAAGTAGAGTCACTTTGGAAGGAGAGGCTCTGGATTTCAGTTCTGGCTTGCTCATTTTTTCCTAACGGTGTGACCTTTGGCAGATTACTTAACCTCTGTCTGCTTTCATATCCTAACTGTGAAATGGGTTGCTCATCTTTATGTAGGGTGGTTTTAAGGCTCTATCCAAACCATGTGGCTCTTTGTTTCCCCAGCAGTTGGCTTCTTAAGGAGTGAGTTAGCCATTATTCTCTGATTATGTACCATGTGTTAATAGAACTTGTACTTCTTCCTCGATTTAGTGATCTTTTATTCATACTAGACTTTACTGTGTTTTGAATTTTAATCCTCTTCTTCAGGATGCATAGTCAGGGTGTATAATAGAAAACTTCATAATCAGCAACATTCTTTTTTTTTTTTTTTTTAAGATTTTATTTATTTATTTGCACAGAGAGAGAGATCACAAGTAGGCAGAGCAGCAGGCAGAGAGAGAGGAGGAAGCAGGCTACCTGCTGAGCAGAGAGCCCAATGTGGGGCTCGATTCCAGGACCCTGAGATCATGACCTGAGCCAAAGATAGAGGTTTAACCCACTGAGCAGCAACATTCTTATACAAAGTTTTCCTTATATAATAGTAATAGCAACAGCTAGAGGTAAACTTTTGGAATTGATTCTGGGGAAACTACTGGGGGAAATTACTTATAACACATGATTAAGAGATGAAATAAAACTAGTGCAGCAAGGACTAGGGTTCATGTGAGATTTTAGGTTGACATAGCACACAGACTGGAGCAAATATCGGGCCAGTAAACCAACAACAAAACCACCTTTGTTTAAGATGGGAAGCTCATCAGCCTTGATATTTTCTTTGGAAGAAAAAAAACTTTAGATTTCATGGTCTTTTAAATATTTTTTGCCTTAGATTTGTTTTTAAACTTGGCGTATAATTTTCATACCATTCTGTGATATTGTCTTGCCTTCATTCTCAAAATGTTTCTTGCATTATTCCTTTTTTTACCTTCACTTTTTGATTATAGATTAAATATGCCATTGATGGAGAAAGGAAATACCAACTTTGTTTGTAGAGGGAAACATACTATTTTTCTTTGTCTTGTATTCCTTATTTAAAGTTTTAATAGCTCTGGTCTTTCTGTATCTGTGATAAAGCCCCTGAATCAAGTTCTGCTTTAAAATATTAAAAAGACTTTTTGTATTGTTGAGTCTTTAAACTGTTCTTTTTTGCATCTGCTAATAATATGAGAGAATCATCTGTCATATACTAATTTTGTGCACAACCCTTTTATTCAGACTTGTTTATGGCCTTAAAATTCAATTAAATTTTTCCTGTAAAGGATAATGTAATTGTCACGTGACTTTTCAACAGTATAGGCTGTAAATTGTGTTCTGTCTTTTGCTTTTTGATGCTGCTGAGATAGAAAAACTTAATGCTTCTTTTTCATAGAAAAAATGTTGGAACTTTATATAACTAAAAATATTTGAGATTTTTTTCCTGGAAAGATACTGAATAAAAGATAATAAATTTATGCTTGTTTACCACGCTATTTCTAATGTTGAAAAAGAAATGAAATAGTCCCTAATTACCCCATCTATCAGTTTAATTAGAAATGTGTTAACATGTTCTATAAAGAAAAATTTGTGATTTTATGCCTAGGTAATCAAAAATGTATGACCTTATAAATATAATACTCATGTAAAACACACATCCGGCATGTTTCTCTGACTGGTACTAGAACCTAGCCAAATGATTAATTCATGAGTACTTTCTGTTATGATCTGTATTATCCACCATTTGCCATTTTCTCTTTCTTGTTGGTGTTTGTTGTTGTAGGTACCAGCAGACAGGTGTTAGGTGGCTGTGGGAATTGCACTGCCAGCAGGCAGGAGGAATTCTGGGAGACGAAATGGGATTGGGCAAGACCATCCAGATAATTGCCTTCTTGGCAGGTCTGAGCTACAGCAAGATCAGGACTCGTGGTTCAAATTACAGGCAAGTGCTCCTCTGCAGACTGTCAGTCTGTGGAGCTCAATTAATATTTCATCAGATGTATTGCTGTGGAGGAGGGTCTTGTGAATTATTGATGACATTTCAATTACAATATTCCTTTAATTCTTTTAGTGGGGGACATCAAAGGAAAATTTTTACGAGACAATGGAGCTGTAGGGCAGGAGAAATTAAACATGTAACACTTTTAATGAATTCCAGGCATTGATGCTTCATTTTGCAGATGAGCCCCACTAGATATTTTGGGTCAATACAGTGTCTAAGGTTAGCTTCTACAAATGGATTGTTTACAAACTCAATTATGTTAATATCGATAGTTTACACAATATGGAATTTTAAATTGGGCATAATACCTTTAGTTCCATGTATTAAATTTTACATTAAAATATTTGTTCTGGCAGGAGACCAGGTAAGCATTACAGCAAGTACAAAGTCTCTTTCTGGGGAAAGTTGGAGCTCTGGAGAAGCCATTCTCCTGAATTTCTTTTATAATCATTATGTGTGATAGCATTTATAGATAGTGGTAGTGGCTCTTTTTTTTTTTTTTTTTTTGGTAACGTGAAATTGTCTGCTCGCTATGCTTCTCTCTCCCTCTCCAGTCTTCCAGAATTTTATATCAACCCTAAAGCCAGAGCCTAAATGATTGCCTAAAATGATGAAAAATTATGTTTAGATTGTGATCTTTGTTCACTTTAGAAATTTAGTTGAATTCTTAAAGCTGTGATATTCAGAAAAAATCAGCATTTAGATTGTGTAAGTTCAGTATGTTGGGACTGAACTATTTTATCGTGAAGTACAGTGAGCATTTATTTCCATACTGAAGCTGTAAATCGGCTTTATGTAAGTCAGCATTGGTAAAACTAATATGAGGTGAATTATATAGGTTATTTAATCTTGAACCCAGGTAATCTGAGAGCTCCTTGGATTCCAGTAGTTTTCTCTAATGAATAACAGCAGTATATTTACGAGATGGTTATGTTGTAGCAACCTCAAATACTCACTATATAGGGTTTGGAGATACCTTTAACAGTGTGCTGTGCCTGAAGTCAGCAACTGCAGAAAGTGACTGTCCTGTAACATGGGTTTAGCTCCAGAGAAATGTTTAGTATGGAGCCAAATGCAAACCATAAACTATTGAGTAAAGAATTTTTTTTTTTTGATCTTCAATAGTGCTCTGTTTTTATTCCTTACTTTTCCATTAATTTAAAAGATCACAATTCTCATGAGTATTTAAAGTTCTAGACTATTTTGGGAATATTTTACATGATGTAGGAAAGGGAAAAAAGCATTTGAAGCTTTTAAAATACCGTATTTTTTGTTATTACATGGAAGTTGTATTGAAGCAGAGGTTTTCCTTCAAATATTAGAATTCTATTGCATATTTTGTTTGGAACCGTGAAAACAGCCCAGCCCAAGGGAAAAGCCAGAGCTGAAAATGAGCATTTAGTGTTTTCTTATCTATGAATGTCCTTAGTTTAACATTTTAAAAAGTGCTTTCTCTGTTCTACATAAGCTCTTTGATTGGCTTGGCTCTGCATCTCTACCTGGGTATTTTTTTGTTTGTTTGTTTGTTTTCTTTTTGGATAACTGGAATGCCCCAGGCTGCCCCAGATGGTTTCTAGGACTGTCCTTCTTTCCTTAAATGATTTCTGGGATTTTCTTATTTCCCATGTCTTATCTTTCCTTCCCTTCCTGTTATCATGAAACTTGTGCAGAGTCTATTACTCTGGGCCTACGAAAACTCAAGTCATCCCTGCAGTGTAGTTTTGATCTAAAAATTAAAACATGCTCTCCAGAGTGGTGGCAATCCTACTAGGAGTGAAGGCAGGGCTAATAATGAGCAGCAGCTGTAATCAATTAGCCATCAATGCTCATATCCTCTTTTCCATAATGAAATAGTGGGGCATGTTGGACAATAGCCCAGATTGTCTTTATTAAAATAGTACTGGTAGAAGTGCCTTCCCAGAATGCAGTATGTGTCAGCCAAACAACCAGGTTCTTTATGAATGGAGGTGTGCTGGGGGAGCTTGGTCCCCTCCACGTCCGTGTGCCAGAGCGCATTTTGTAATCACAGTTTTCTCACAATTTTATAACCTGTCCACCTCTGCAACTAGATGAACTTGGAGTTCTTGTCTGTGTTTATGTCCTAAAGAAAAATAGATGAACAGTCAAATGAAGTTCTCAGTGGGCTGACGCGGCTCATTTTGGCTCTTTACGTTTCTCTGAACGCCCGTGAGCTTTAGACTTGGGGCCCTAACTTGTGTTGCATTTTGTGGTCCGTGATCATGGAAACGGTTTAAGTCTCTGGGATACCAAGAAGAAACTTCACTTTAAAGAAGTTTTTTTGGTTTTGTTTTTTAATGTGTTTTGCATGTGTGTTTTTAAAAGAGAGAGATGTGTATTACAATGCACCTGTAAAAGTCTGTACTGGTTTTTGTGCTCCCAGTTCATCCTGTGTATACTGCCTTCTCTTCCCTTGGCCATTCATATTATAACGCTGGGTCCCCTGAATTTCATGATGAAATAAATTATTTACCTTTCAAACTTCAGTTAGTAATTTACTAAATGATATCCAAGACTTTAAATTCCTGGTTACAAATAAAGTGCCCTGAAAAAATTAATGAACTTTCAAAGGTTAATATTTTACTTTGTAATTCCTGGTAAGTCCTAGCCTGTGGATAGCAGGATTTCCATCCTGTAGATTGAGGTATTTGACCGATGGAGCTAGTGGCTTGGCCTAAACTCATTAGATAATCAATGCTGATCAAAGATGAAAGGAATTTTAGCCAGTTTGGTAATTGATGCTAATCACTCTAGTACATTTAGCCATTTCTTATGCTCATCTCACTGGTTTTGAGGGTTGGAAAAGGGTGGTTCAGTTGATGTGACTGTTAATGGATTTGATTGCCCCTCCTGTGGTTCAGGAACAATCTAGGTCTGCTCCTAGATTTCCACTCAGTGTGAAAACCTCCATAGTCTTCTAATAGGGGGAGAATGGCAGCAGTGAAAGGGCATCATAATGCCAGATACGTGTTCAGCTAGGATAAAGTGTTGGCCCTAAATGACACAGCGTGAGTCATCAGTGTAGCAGTTTGCAGAAAGCATGTAATAAAAAGAAAAAAAAAATGCTATGTAGCTGAATAAAGCATGTATATATATTTATGCTTATTTGAAAGTGACTTTGTAAATATTTTAAACAGGTTTTGATTGGTTGTTTCCTAATCCCCGCTAAGTGCTTATTGATAATAACTCTTGTTCCCTGTGGAGGGTATAAAGAAGCTGGTGCATTTAATCCTTTTAGAAAGAAATATTGTCATGGAAGGGGCCAGACCAGAGTTATGCCATCCCCAGGGAGCTTGAGGGGGCGCCTGCATGGGCCTTGTCCTTAGTGAGGAGCAGGGCCTCCTTGGGAATTCTTTGGGAAGTATCAAAGTCTGCTGTAGTCCCTACTTCTTGAGCCCTTATTATGGAGCAGTGGGCTGGGGCAGTAGCTGTAGTTGAAGGGTGAGAGGCTTTAGAAGTGGGTGGAGGCTTTTTGTCATGTTGGAATACAAGGGTAGCCTCATTTCAGTTATGGCTTGTTTCTGTATTAGAACCTCAGGTATTTTTGAGTTGTGCGGAAGATTATTCTTAATATTTCAAAAATTTTTTAAGCTCAGAATTTACTGAGCTGTAGCAAAAAAATGAAAATTACCCATGATTCCCTAACTCAGAAATAATCTCTTTGAACATTATTTTCTAACAACCTTTAAGAAAATGTCTTCATTTAATAAAGCCAATATTCATGAGCTACGTCTTGTGGTCTAGGCATCTGAAGAAGAAGCCATTCCTACCCTCGGGGCTTAGAAAGGATCTAACACACAATTACAATACAAGTGATATGTGTATGGTGGTAGGGTTAGTATGGGGTCCTAACTAGTGTGGGTATGCCAAGGAAGGATCCTTAAACCATTTGGAGAGAAAAAGGAAGACTCTAAGAGAAGCTAGGGGCTAACACTCAAGTAGATGGCAGCTCGGATAAAGGGTAAGAAGGGACAAGGGGAATGCCAAGACATGAGAGAAATATGCACTTTGCAGGGACTGAAGACAGTGCTGGCAGGTGGAGTGCCGAACCACAGAGGCAGATGTTGGGACGGGGGCATTGAGACAGGTGAGGCTGAAAAGGTGAGCAGAGGTCAGTCCTTTTGGTCTCATAGGCCAGTTTAAGGTGTGTAGATTATTCAAGAACAGTGGGCAAACATTAAAGCCTTGATGTAGTGGGGTGTGGGCTCCTAGGCACAGACAGAGGGATTAGTTACACAAGAAGGACACTTGTTCCACTGTAATGGGGGGAAGGAGGGCAGGATGGTGCAAGGTTCAGTCAGTTACCTGTGGTATGCAGTGTATCAGGATATTTTGGCTGCAAGTAGCCAAAACCTTACACTGAGTCAGATATTCCCAAATGTGTGATACACTTAGGAACCTCCAGAGGAGGTGGGCGGTAGACACAGTGTGATCTGCAGCTCAGTGCTGTCATCAGGGACCCAGAGACTTCAGTTTTCTCCCAAGGTCAGTTCTCCTTAAAGTATCAGATGTCCTTGCACTGTAGCCCAACTGCCCCGCAGCCACTGGGTGATATTTCCTTGTTCATGGAGAGACCTAGAGAGAAAACTCTCCTCCAGCCTGCAGTGGAAGTCCTTCCTTCCCTACACTGAAGGAACCGGTTTTACTAGGCCCTGAGTGGGAGAGTGAGTGGTACCAGGCCGGGGTGGGGAGAAGGGGTACTGCGTGCTGACAGCTGTGGATGACCCGAGTTCCTGCTTCTCCCATCTCACCGCCGCAACCAGGCAGTGGGCAGAGTCCCATCAAGTACAAGTGTGGGACAGAAGAGGGGACACCTGCACAAAGTCATGGCTCTGTTAGGAAGGAGGGAGAGGGAGGGAGGGATTGTTGAGATAGTGGCCACCATGACCAATCTCCCAGCTCTCTGTGAAAGTGAATTGGAGTGATTTCTGTAAAGTTTTGTTTTTTAAGACTTCTTAGGAGCATTTCTCCAGGTTTTTAAATATTCTTCAAAAGTGATTTTAATGGTTCTGTGACATTCCATCTTATTTAACAAGCCCTTATAATATTTGCTATATGGCAGTGTTGTTCTGAGCACTTTATAGGTATTAACTGAATTAATCTTCATTTAATCCTGTGTGATCGGTACTATTATTATTCCTATTTTAAGATGGGAAGCTGAGGTTCAGAGAGGTTAAGTAATGTGCCCAAGATCATGCAGTTAATGTGGGCAGAGCTGGAATTCAGACCCAGGCAGTGCTCCTAACGACGAGCTTGTGCTGAATTAAAGAAATGGAATGGTTTGTCCAACCCTCGTCTTCATGGATGTTTAGGTAGCGTCCATTTTTCCCACAGTGTAGATAATGCTGCAGTGGGTATCCTGGCACATCAGTGTGTGTTTGGGACTGCTGGGTCAGTGGGGGACTGCCCTTAATACTCTTGCTGTGTTGTGCTCTGCTGCTTTCCACAAGAACAGCGCAGCTATACTCTTGGTGTGGGCTTTCCAGGGGAAGTGCTCACTGTGATCACCTCCCTCCCTCCGTCCCCGACACACACACACCATGGAGAAGCGAGCCATACGGTGTCAGGAAAGCAGGCCATGGCAGTTCGAAGACTGATTGTAGACATCGCCACGTCCACTGGTAACCATGTCCCTTTGGGCCTGCCAATCTTCAGAGCACTTCTGTCCTGCTTACTTCCCACAGCTGGGAGGTTGGTTGAAATTGCGTGGTAGAAACTCCTAAGATTCTCCTAGGTTTGAAGAGCTATGTAATATCTTCCCTCACTTAGAATTTGTTAAGTAATTTTTGCTTCATTTTCTTTTATTTTACTCTGGATTTCATTTACTGGGTGTTAACTTCAACAGCTTTTTCTTTACAGAAAATATCAATAAATTTCCACAGCTAGGCTTTTCTATTTCAAGCTGTTACCTTTCTATTTATTTTCTTTTTTGTTTTTTGGTGGTTATTCATCCATATGCTGTCATTCATGGTTGTGTTTTCTTGGACGTTTTGGGTGCAGGTTCACGGGGTTGGGTCCGACTATAATTGTCTGTCCAACGACAGTGATGCATCAGTGGGTGAAGGAATTTCACACGTGGTGGCCTCCATTCCGAGTGGCAATTCTACACGAAACTGGCTCCTATGTGCACAAAAAGGTAACACTACAGTACTTCAGTACCTGTTGGTTTGCTTACTTTTAAACTTCTCCACTTTACATATTTTTCTTTTGATCCCTGTATTTCTCAAGTGTATGTTCCTGTGTGCTTTTATGCATTAACTTACTGTTACTGATTTAATTTAGAGCTGTATGTTTTCAAAACAATACGTGAATGTAGGCTTTATCATTCTGACAGTTCATAGTGCCTTGAGACATGTTTGTTGTCCAACAAAACACAACTGGGCACAGACTGGGCACTACAAGCCTGCTAGCATGAGTGGGACCATACCCTGGGGGCTTCCAGAATGGTTAAGTAGTCGGATTTGGGCCATTAGCAGCTTTCCACAGTTTTAGGAAAGTAATGTAATAACTCATCTTTGGTAAGTACGTACATTTAACATGGTTTTCAACATATTTTTAATGAACAAAGGAACAACCTCTACAATTATGAGAATTTCTTAATTTGTATTGTTTTTTAGTTAAATTGCTTTGTGTTCTCTGAATCCTTGGTCATCAATGTAAGCCTAACCACTATATTTTGAAAGTTGGATTTCTTCACTTATTTGTAGTTTTAGTCACCTGATTAAAAAGGAGGTTTATTTGTGCTCAGATGGGTAGCATGGAGAGATTGTATTATGCTTTTTAAATTTTCAGCTTTGACCATCCGGACTGTGAGCTGTGTGAAGTGCCCATAAGTGTTTGCTGAATAGCTGATAATTACACTTCTTCCCTGTGGGTTTGTAGGTTACTTTTTTGAGATGAAGTGGTAGTTTGTTATGAGTTCTTTCTTTCCCAAGTCTTTGGAGCTCTTGAGTGAGCCTTGTGTACCCCCACAAGAGCAGTGTGCCTGAAAAAGCTGCTGAATGTTTGCCTCACTGAGTTAGACACGTGAGCCCCTGAACTCCATTGTTTCTGGAGTTTGACCCAGTACCCCTTTCCTCCAAACTCCCATTTTATTTATGATTATGAGTAAGTGGAACTTTCGATAGAAGTGAATCAGGAGTGTCTGTAATTGGGTAGCTCAAGTTCGGTGAGGTGGAATCTTGCTTATACTAGCTGCTGTTAAAGCCAAGTGACTTTGTCCCGAATTTTAAATGATAAATGAAAAACAAACTGAGTTAAAGTAATGAAGTAGGGTTAATGCTGTGATCAAAATGAAACAAAACTGATTTTTAACAGCATGAAAATAACCATTTTGATTGTTTTTCTGGTTAAACTGAATGGTTGTAACTATCTTTTTGAACACCCTTATTAAATGTTTTTGATGCCTTTTTTCACTTCCATCATCTGTTGACATTTCTTAATGTTTTGTGTTGCAAAATCCAGCAGGATTCCTTACTTGATGTTTCTCTTGAAAAGGCACATTTTTCATAGGTTCTCTTTATCTTTTTATTTTCTTTTGGGCTACTGAAGGGTATATATTCAATTTCACCTTTATCATAGCTTACCTACATTTCCTCTTTTATTATAACCTGAAAAACTATCTTCATGTAAACCAAATGTCTCTGTTGGTGCCTTGCTTCCTTGTTTGGAGGGTAGAGCTTTGGAGAAGAGATGCTTCACTTGTTCGCAGGGATTCCATCTTCTGAGGTTGTTTTGCACACACAATCGCATGTATACATGTGATTTTTCATAATTTTGTTTGATGCTTTACAATTTGCTAAGGACCTTAACTTGAAGTTTCTTATTTAACTTTTGAGGAAAAGCAATAGATGTGTGTTTTTCCTCTGACCCTTAATTAACTCTACTGTTTCTTTTTTTATTAACATATAATGTATTATTAGTCCCAGAGGTACAGGTCTGTGAATTGCCAGGTTTACACACTTCACAGCACTCACCATAGCACACACCGTCCCTAATGTCCATAACCCAACCACCCTCTCCAACCACCGCCCCCAACCCTCTTGTTTCTTTTTCATTATAAAGAATCCCAGATCTCTGAATATGTAATTTGTTATGCAAAAGACCAAAAAGATGTTTGTTTGCATCTTAAAAACCATACTCTCGACTTAGAAACACAGTTTATTATTTATTATTGTTAATATCAGTTTATTATTTGTGATGAGGATATTGAAAATACATTAAATCCTTTGCATAGACCTCATTAGTAACACTTCCAAGATCAGAATTCCAGCTGCTAGATTAAAAAACCAAAGTGACATTTGATACCTTTTCTCATTCCTTTTAATATTTGTTCTTGAAGATCTTTGTCACCACCCCTGCACACCTGTTGACTTGCAGATAATGTGTTAGATTGCAGTTAAATACATTTTTTAAATTCATATCTCAAATATTCTGTCAGTGTCTGTCTGATCTCAACCCAGCATCTAATGCCTGATTTCCTTTCTGTCCTTATCAGCTAGGATTCTTTTTCTCCATGGGGGAGCTTTCTGTGCCCCCGGGCCTGTCCAGATAACGGCGCTTTGGCACAGGGACCTTCAGTGCTGGAGAAAATATGGAAGAGAAGAGAATTTCTCTTTAAAAAACTTGAAAGTACTGTTTCAAGAATTGTGCTGCTTATCATTCAAGTAGATTTTCTTTATTTTCCTAATGATTTGTTGTAACTGATATGACATAAAATTTTGAAAATTAAAGTTTCCATTTAGAGCACAGGCATCAGATGATCAGTTTCTGAATGGAGCGCATCCGTTATTCTTCTTCCTTACGTTGCCTTTTAGCTTCCCACCTCTCACCACATGACCCTGTATTATCTTTGTTAATACTCTCTTTGATTGACAGCGTAATTTAGAATTATCAAATGTGAACCCAGCAACCATGCAGAAAAATATGTGGCTGGTATTTCAGCCAAACAATCAAATCAGATACAGACATTTTCAGTCTTCTGGATCTTCTTTTAATGGTCAATTGAAATCTCATTTCATAGGAATCTAAGATTTTTCTTTTTCTCATTATGTTTTGTGATCCCTTTTTTCTAACATAGAGAAACTTGATATGTGAGTTGATTAACACTTATTTATTGAGTAACTATAAACATGACATTGCATTTGTGTTGTCTTTGCATTGCATTGTATTTGAGGCTGTTAGGGCTCCAAAAAATGGTTATGGTGTTTTTAACTGACCTTGAAAATCTAGCCATTTTCTTGGGGAGAGAAAATGCCTGAAAAGATAATAAAAGAAGGGAGTTTTGTGGTACTTATGCCGTAACTCACAGTGGATGGTGGCATCTTTAGCTACTGTGTTATGAAGTTTATTTAATTATTAAGGACCCTTTTTTCAGTTTTTTGGAAGATGTTTAATGAGAAATGTCTTGCTTGTATTTTGAAACAGTTGTCACTTTGTCTCTCCCACCTTTCCCTGCTGTATCCTACAGATATAGTAATTCTGTGGAATATTTGTGATAATTCAAAGAGTTTTATCTCATTTTGACAAACTCATGGCATTTAGAGGGAATCGCAACAATAGCGTAAAGGTTTCAAAGCATAGCTTTTGTCATGACCAGACCCGGGTTTGAATCTTAAAGCTTTGTGACCTTGGGCAAATCACTTAGCTTCTCTGAGCCTAGATTGGTCTCCCAAAAAATGAGTATTTTTGGTAATTTTGTGAAGGGTTGTTGAGGTAATAGGTATGCACGAGAAGCTTAGTGTCTCAGGTAATTCTTCTACTCATTCATTTACTCAAGTAATTCTTACTATTAGAAACAAAGAATGTTGTAGACCCATTCTTCTGTGGTAGTCCGAAGAGAAGATGCTCTGCTGTTGCTGACTGATTCGGTATAAATACTCGCTAGACTGAAGGTTCACACTTGCTTTATCAAACACGTTCGCAGGCGTTCCTGTCTAGACCTTTTTTTCTCAAATCCAGATGGATTTGGCCCCAAATGGAAACAATGAAATAGCATGTTGAAGTTCTTTTGGCGAAACACAAGTTGTGATTCAAACACAAGCTGTTTGATGAAACTGCCATCACGTGTTCTTTAAAAAGGCCCATTTTTCTGGAACACTAGAGTCAAAGGACTTGACTTTTTAAAGAGCTGGAAGGGAGTCAGGAAAAAACATAAAAATTAAAGTAGAAAAGGGCCACATGGTCCCTCAAGCATCCTAAATATTTCAAACCCATTCCAAGTACACAAATTATAACACAAAGTGATGTAATTCCTATTAACTTCAGAGACGGTGTATACACCTGATACAAGAAATGATAGATGCTATGCTTGTTCTGTGAGGTATATTGTAAAATTATGTTGCTGGAGCCCTTTTTTTCTTCATTGTCAGCACAAATCCTTGTTTATTAAAGATTTAGCTTGAAGGAAATTTTAATTAATTACAGGTGCAGTAAATCCTGCCTGGGAAGCTGCCGTGCTGTGTTTACCGTGAATGGCCTTCATGTGCCTGTGCTCCACTCTGCTCTCCCCGCTGCCTGACAGTGTGATTTATGGCTGTTGTTTTCTACCAGTCCACTGTTTGCCCTCTAGGAGGGATTGGTCTCCTGAGCCTCCGTAATAGCAGCAGCACGTTCACAGACATCTTTTAATGACAGCAGCACTGCATTCAGTAAGTCAGGCTAATTGCAGATGTACCCTATTAATTGCAAAAACTAGGAGAGGTTACATATTTTACAAGCTTTTAATTTGAAACCGCCCGAGATGATTTGTCTTAAGTGTTTGGATAGAGACGTCCATAATATTCAACAATTCGCCATTATTGAAACTCTAGGCAGTTATAGAATTCTGAGATTGAATCAGGTGAAAACAAAAAGTCTTACATGGTGTTTTTTACCCAGTGGCTGTTCAGTGGAAGTTACATTTTCAATAGGACATTTAAAAAGAATTTCTTATGCTTCTTATAAAAGTCTTTTTGATTTTTACTCATCATCATACATCTTTCTGAGTACGGTAGGAATTAGTGTATTTCTGTGGCGTAACATTGTAGAATTTTCCCAGTAAACTTTAGTCCTTATTGAACATGCAGAAGAAGGTGACCACAGTGCCAGTGGTGTGTATTTGAGAGGGTTGGCATCTCATTTGTTCTCCTGTGGTGAAGTGACATCCAGAATCCAGCTTGGGGTGGCATTCCTTGGCGGGGTTTAAGGGAATGGCCATGGCGAGTCTTTGCGTCCAGCAGTTACAGGAGTTCAGGGTCCCAAGCAAGTGGACCCCCATTTGTAGGGCTTGTCTGTGACCCAGTGGACATTTTATAAATGTGGGTGGTAATATGACCCCCTTTGGTTGTGAAGCCCCAAACATTGGTAGTTGTTTTCATCCCCCTCTTGTCTCTGTGTATGCACAGAGTTCCAGGTCTAGAGGGGAGTTGGGCACGGACATTCTCGGTTTCAGTCTGCTGCCTTCTCGGGTCCTAACTGCTTCATGAGTTCTAGTAGCCACTGCTCTCTTGGTGGGGAAAATGAGGGTAGAGTTGGTGGCAGCTGCCTGTCCCCAGTCTCAGTGGCAAATTGAGATGCAGAAGAGCTCTTAGGATCAGCTCTGGCTTCTGAAAGTCACGGGACTTGTGGAATGAGGCGATCGAGGTGGTGCAGTGTGTCTTTGGACAGCCCACTTTCTACATGCACACTGGTAGCTGTGGGGGGCCGGTGGTGGTGGATAAGCAGTGTAGTCAGGGCGAAAGGGAGAGAGGTGAGTCCCAGGAGAAACCGGCCTGTGTTTTTGGAAAGCTGTGAGCCCTGAGGTTTTTACTGTGCATTCACCATAAGGTACAGAGTTGGGAAATGGTTAGTCAGGTGTGGTCTTCAGTGTAGGACTGTGCAGGCATTGAAAACCGTGAATAGGAGGACAGCAAAGTGGTAAAGTAGTAGTAGATAATACAGCTCTCCCTGTCGAACCTTTGATGTGTACTGGGTATCGTAGTTTTATGAACTGGGAAGTTTTGAGTGTGTTATGACATGAGAAAGTAATTTCTCCCACTTTGTTTTTCTCTTTCAAAATTTTTTGGGCTCTTATTACACCCTTTTATAACTCTGTTGAGTTAAAAAAATATTTCAGTCCTAGTTTATTAACATAATAAAATCAGTTTTGAAGATGTTGAATTTTTTAAATTTGTATAATTGTAATTACATGAACTACTGTGTTAGGTTTCTTGATATTTCGCTCTTATATTACTGTGATGAGCCTTATTAGGTTAATATACAGCTAGGTTTCATTTATAAGTAACGGATCTCTGCTAGGGAGTACACGTGTGTGTTGTGCCTGTTAGTTTTGAAAACAGGGTTCTGTTGGCCTTATAGTAACACATTGAAATGCGTCCTGTCTTTTCCTGCATTTTGAGATAGGTTAAACAATGGGATGGATTTCTACTTTGCTCATGAAACCCTTTGGGTCCGGTTGGCTTTTGGTGAGAAGAGCATACTGTCTTTTTCAAGTTCTTCAGTAATTGGTCTGATCGGTTTGTCTCATTTTTCTTGGGCCTATTTTGGTACTTTATTATTATTATTTTTGAACAGTTGTCCTCTGTCAAAGTGTTCAGGGTTTTGGCATTAGCTCACTAGTGGTGGTGGAGAGAAGACACATTTATGTAGTGTCTCCATCTCGGTTCTGCTCTTTCGACATTCTCATGCTCTGTGTCTGAGTCTGCTCTTTGGGCTGACTTGACAGATCTTTGTCTGTTTTGTTTGATTTTTTCAGTGGGCTATTTCATTTTGTGGTTTTTCAGTTCTGCCAGTTTTGTTTTTTAAGGGTCCACTGAGGTTTGTTTTTATCTTATTCTCTCATTTTCCTTTTTTAGCAGGTTGCGCTGACTGACTGTTCCGCCTGAGTTTAGCGTCAGTGGCGTGCGAAGAATGAGTGTTCTTCGTGTGGTCAGAAACTGCTGATACTATTAAAAGGAGCTCGGGGATGGTGGTGCTCACATCATTTGTATCTTAGTTTTTGACCTCTTGTTTTCTTTAATCTTACTTTCTCTCTTCTGGTCTGTCAAACTCTGGGAGGCTGTGCCGGGTCCCCTGCCGGCTGCGGATGTCCTGCTTCATCAGCACAGCTCTGACAGCTTTGCGCACCGGGTTTGGTGCGGGGCTCCTTCTCCAGTGTGCACGGTCTCCTTTAAAATAGAAAATATCCCTCTTTTTTTCTGTTCAGTTCTTTCTGTCTGCTATTTGTATTTCTAGTCCTGCCCCATTTCTTTTTGTGTTTCTTGGGTAATCCCCATATTTTCAGCTTTCAGTGCCAGGCTCGTTTGGGTCTAAGGGTTGGGCCGTGTGTACCCACGGGAAAGTTTCGCTGCTAATAACCCACTGTCATTGTGGAGACTCCTGGTACATTTCGTCTGAAACCAGCGATTATATTTTCTATTTTCCTGATTTTTTTCTATTTTCTATTACTTTTTTCCCCTAGAGTGGTTTGACAGTTCTACAGTCTGTTTCTTTTCTTGTATTCATGTGGAAGTAGCAGCTGTGGATCAGTAGATGGGCTTGTTTTTTTACAAATATAATCCAACCTGTTTTTCTTTCACAGTTAAAAAGTGGACAGTGTCTGTCATCTCTGCCCCTTTCTACCCTCGGACAGGGCGGGATTTCTAGTACACGTATTTCTCCTGTTGTTATTCAAGATTTTGTTATACTAAACTAGAATTATAGTGACACTTAAAAATATATCCCCCCCCCTTTAAAAAAAGATTTTATTTATTTATTTGAGAGAGAATGAGTGAGAGAGAGCACAAGCAGGGGAAGGGGCAGAGGGAGAGCAGACTCCCATCTGAGCTGGAGCCTGATGTGGGGATCAGTCCCAGGACCCTGGGATCATGACCTGAGCCGATGGTGGGCACTTAACCAACTGAGCCACCCAGGTGTCCCCAAATATATCCCTCCTTATATTTTAGATTTATTCTTAACGGTTTCGTTAATATTTAAAGCAATGTTTAAACATTTACTTACTGTTTTAAAACAGATTTCCTTGCTTTCCAAAGTGGAGCATTCCTACAAAATCTTTTCGTACCCTGAAATGGCTTGAAGTGAAGAAGCACTTATCATTAATTTATATGGAAAAGTTCTTGAGCATTCCCTACCCAAATAGTAACCTCTCTTAGGCTTTTCTGATACCTTAGGATACGTCTTGCTAACACGCACAAAATAAATCGGATAATGCATAGATGCTTATAGATCCGGTTCAAAGCTACGGCGCTTGCTGCCCAGATGCTGAGTGTAGTTCTCAGGGAAGGAGCTTGGTGGCGCCCCTCTCGTGCTCGGGGCGTGCGTGGGCTGCCTCTATAAAGGCTCGCTGCACAACAAAGACGGAACGCTGCTTTTGCTTTTCACCTTTTTTATAAAAGTGAAAGTCCTCTTTGGCTTTCTTTGGGTCGGCAAAAACGGGTACTAATGTAGGTCTTTTGTAACAGCGAAGAAGCTAACTGAACTTTGGAAAAGCAGAGGATACCTGTAATATTTGAAAGAACTGGTGTACATATTACATGTAATTTACCCTTAAATTTTTTTTTCTTTCACCGTTAGGTATGAGGCAGCATTGCCTGATACTTAGTTAATACTAGCTTTGCAGTTAGCTGCCCGTCTACGTTCACATCATGACTCCACCACTTACCAGCTGTGTGACCTGATATATTATTACAGTCTCCCCCCTGTAAACCAGAGGTTCATAAGGACTCTGTCCTTTTTCAGGGAGTTGCTAGGAGTACTCTGTCTGCAGTGAGCATTCTGGGCCTGGGAGCTCTGCCGTCTGCTGTTCTGCAGAGTGCTGTATGTTCCGGGCACACTTTCTTCTGCCCTTGGAAAGGGACCGTGTTCTTTCAGTGACCACACCTGGCTGGATATATCGTGTACTATACCTGGCCTCTCTCTGGCTGCTTTATTTTCTGTTTTTGCCTGTCTGGAGGTAGAATTTATTTTTTCTGTCAAGCATGACTGCTAGTTTGGATCAGTGCAGAATTCCGGGGTCATTCCCCTACAATTATGGAACGTCTGTCTCTTTGCTTTCTGACAGTTTAGTGTAACAGAAGAGGTGTCCAGCTCAGGTGGAGTCTTTTTCCTCTGAAGGGAATCTTCTGTTTTGTTCTGACTAGAAGCTACAGCATTTTCTCTTTACTTTTGGAATTCTAGTAGGTATATTCCTAGGGATAGGTCTCTTTTCAGTGTTTCTCCCTGACACTCCATTACTTTTTGCTCTATAGACTCCTCTGTTTCTCCTCAGAATTTTTTTCTGTCTTTTAAAAAAAATCATTGTTTTTATATCCTTTTTTATTCTCTCCTCCTGGAATTCATGTTCTGCATCAGTACAGCGCCTGAATTTGTCTTTCTGGTCTCTCTGGCTTTTCTCTCATTTTTTTTTTTCTGGTTTTAAAATAATAAATCACTTCCCATCTATCTTGTTGTTTTAAGTTTAACAAGAATTGACAATGGATATTTTAGAAAAATAAATATTGGGTAAGTGTTTACTTATTGTAACTTTTTCTAGTTTTCTTTTGAGGGCCCTCCTCCTTAAGTAGATCTAGTAGTCAGTGTTTACAGAGTAATGAAACATAAACTTCCAGTGCTGATAATGTATAGTTGTAATTGTATGTATTGTGATTGTATACATATTTTAAAAGTGCATTAGATTACATCATTGAAAGATTACCATTTAAAGAATCATGCTCATTTAGTTTATTTAAAGGAGCTTATTTAAAGCTGGTTTTACCATTTTATCATCATTTAGGAGAAACTAATTCGAGATATTGCTCATTGTCATGGCATTTTGATTACTTCTTACTCCTACATTCGGCTGATGCAAGATGACATTAGTAGGCATGACTGGCACTATGTGATCTTGGATGAGGGACACAAAATTCGAAATCCAAACGCTGCTGTCACCCTTGCTTGCAAACAGGTATGAGCTTTTATAACAAGGGAGATTTCCAGGTGGAAAATAGTATTTAATTGAGAATAAACTCTGGTAACACACTTATTGACTCTTGTGCCTCTGCATAAGGAATTTGAAATACATGTTTTGCCTTAATGCAGAAAATTCTTTATTCTTGCCCATAATCATGGTTTTAAAAAATTCAAATTATTCACATTACTGACTGTGTCTCGTAGGGATCAGTTGTTAGAATGTCATCGAATCCAACTCTCATTCCTAGTATTCAGCTTGAGCAATAAGAAATATTCTTCCCTCTTTATTTTTTCTATATTGCGTAAAATGTCTACATTTTGGAGATTAAAGTGATATGTAAAAATGTTAAATAACCAGGATTGTGTGGACATATTTTGGGGTAGGGATGGTGATCATCTCTTGAAAAATGGATTTAACAAAAAGTGTTTTCTTTCCCCAAATAGTTCCGCACCCCTCATCGTATCATCTTGTCTGGCTCACCGATGCAAAATAACCTCCGGGAGCTGTGGTCGCTCTTCGACTTCATCTTCCCAGGAAAGTTAGGCACATTGCCTGTGTTCATGGAACAGTTCTCAGTCCCCATCACCATGGGGGGGTATTCAAACGCCTCCCCGGTGCAGGTAATGTAGTAGTCAGCTAACACTTCTAGGCGTTTTAATATTTAAACTGTTCCTACTTAATATACTGTACTTTGTAGCCGAGTCATTCATAATATAAGGGAAATGGCCAAGCTTATAAACTGGTATCTGCCCCAAATCACAAAATTATTTTTGCTTGAGAGCTCCTCTTTTTCCAGATGAGTTTTAAAAAATTATCTCACGTCTTCAAAACCAGTCAGAAAGTGTGAAACAAGAATGAATCAGTTCTGGACACTATATAATTTAGTATATCTTATAAGATAGTGTAAAAGCTTAGAGAAGGGAAAGCCAGGGAAGATTGAGTTGTTCAGAGAGGACTTAGTGCAACACTTACATGTCCTTTAACCCAGTTCTGGGAAAACAGGCCAAGAAGAGTGAGGGCATTCTATATCAGGGCAGTGGTGTGAACACAGCCATATTGTGTGGCCATGGGCCATAGTGAAGAGACATGCCTGATTGCCCTGGAGATGCTTATGAGGTAGCCGGGAAGGTGTGGGTGCCAGAGATGGGGGCCTTGAAAGGGAGGCAGAGGCTCTCAGGCAGCGAAGAGCCACCGAAGGTGTCTGAGCGGGAGGCTGAAAGATGGCTGCTCTTCCAGGGCCACTCAGGCTGCAGGTGGTGATGGGACCGAGGCTGGCTTTGAGGGACCTCCAGGAATTGTTAGGGGTCAGGGTGGTGAGGGTGGTGAGGACCTGGACCTGGACTTGGGTGGTGGTTCTGAGAAAGAAGGTGGGGAGCAAAAGTTCCAAATGGCATCTTTTCCCATAAAACAAACAAGACGTGGGGGCCCTTAAGATCAAGGAAATGAGGTAGAAATGATAAAATTTGGAAAAATTTTAAAAAGAACTCCTGTACTCTTTTACTAGATCCACCAGTTATTAGCATCTGCTAACATTCTGCCACATTTGTTTTATCTTTCCTTCCTTCCCTACTTCTGTGTACCCATACACACAAATTTATACTGTTTGTTTTTCCTGAATCATCTGAGAGCAAGTTGTAGACATTATGTCCCTTTATTCTAAATCCTTCAGTGTGTATTTCCTAAGAACAAGGACAGCCCCCTACATAACCACAGTAAAAACATCCAAATCAGGAGGAAATTTAACACAATACAACTCTAGACTGTAGTCATCCACATTTTGTCAGTTCTTCTAGTAGTTTCCTTGTCTCTTTAGTCTTCCTTTAATCTGCAACAGTTCCTCTGTTTTTGTTTTGCCTTCCATGACTTTCCAGATGACAGGCCTTGTATTTTGTAGAATGTGCCTGCCTTTGGGTTTGTCTTCCACCCTCTGTGACTTGACTTTCTTGGTGTTTCACTTTAGGAGGCACGTGCTGTTGGTTTATCCTTCATGGGTAGTGGCAGTTGGTGGTGTCTGATTACTTGGGTGAGGCGGTATTTACCAGATTTCTAAACTCTTTGAATTAACCACTTCCTTTGGAATTAATAAATCAGTTATACAGAGAGACTTGGAAACCCTCTAAACATTATCTCTTTTTTTCCTTGACATCCTTGTGTTAGAAGTCTATGTACTTACCTGTTTTCCCTTTGTAGGTTATAAGGTCTTTGGGACCAGAACTTTTGTTTTTTTGTTTTTTAAAGATTTTATTTATTTGAGAGAGTGAGACAGACAGAAATGAACCTGAGCAGGAGGAGTGGCAGGCAGAGGGAGAAGCAGGCTCCCGAATGAGCAGGGAGCCCGACACGGGGCTTGATCCCAGGACACTGAGATCATGACCTGAGCTGAAGGCCAGATGCTTAACTGACTGAGCCACCCAGGCGGCCCAGAGCTGTTGTTTTTGTATTTGCTTTTTTTTTAAGTCCATGGTTGCCATGAGTTACTGAATCCCAAGAAGATCATCTGTCAGCAGTTATTTATTGTGTCAGGCTGGGGCTAAAATGATGAGAGGTGGCTGGCATCCAGAACCTTCCCTTGAATTGTGTTCTCAGTCCAGTAGGATGATTGTAGTACAGGGTAATGAGGACTATGATCAGGGGAGATATCTAATATCAGAGCTTGTGGGAGTCAAGAAAGGATTCCTGGAGGAGAGATGACTATGCTAGGCTGAGGAAGGTGAGGGGGGAGAATATTAGTTACCAAGAATATGGCCTGCTTCTTGGCTTTGCATGTTAAGCTTAGATTTTAGAACTGAAAAGAACCTCCTCATTTCTTGCTCAAGGTTTATTGAGATTCCATGGTTTGGTGACTGGCCTAAGGTAAGGTCTCTCAGTTCTGGAAAAGGCAGAATTGGTGAGTAGTATCACTCTGCCTTGTCAGGAATAGGAAGGAAACTTAGATGTTCAGTTGGTCTCCATTTTCCATGGCACTGGGAAGTTGGGAGTGATAGTTAAGAGAAATACAGTTCTGGAGCCCTACCATGTGTGTAGTCAGAGAGACAGGGAGGCAGATGGGAAAAAAAATTAGAATCCGCATTATTGCCTGAAGCACAGGACTGTGTAGGAAGGTTAGACTGAGAACGTGGCTGAACATCAAGGCTAAAACTGGGTTTCTTAGTCTTCCTTGCTCTCCTATCCCCACCACATTCCAGAGTTTCAGTTCTTCCTCTGAGGAGAGTTGGGTGTGAAAAACAGACCCATCCCCAGCCACTGTGAGGTCTGACCCCTGCCAGGAGCAGGGAGGGGTGGTGGAAGGAGAACTCTCCAGAGGGGTGGACAGGCAGGAGAAAGTGGGAATGAGCGGCCAGGTACTCACCAGCCCAGCCCTAGTTTTCCAGCGTCATCATCCAGCTCACTCGTGCTTCTGGAGGAGAAATACGTGAGTAGAGGTGGGGATATGGAGATAGTTTCCTTAACATACTGTATATATTTTTAGGAAGAATTTTAACAGTATACTTCTTGGTGGGACTGTAATGTCACATTAAATTTTGAAATTTATTATCTCTGTATTCCAAACCATAATATGTACCTGATCATCCTTTTAAGGATAATTTGTAATCAGTGGCTGAATGATACAGTTATAAGATTACCTGTAACTAGAAGTTGTTGATTAATTGAACTTATTTGTTATTGTCTGCTATTCCAAGTAAATCCTGTTTTTTTCTCTGTACGTGCTCACATACACACAAGGTGAGCACACATATGTGTGTATACATGTATACGTACTTGAGTGGGGGTGTTCTTAGGGTTTTTAAAAATATTTTTCACTGTTATTTTTTTTTAAAGATTTTATTTATTTATTTGAGAGAAAGAGAAAGAGCATAAGTGGGGCAGGGAGGGACAAAGGGAAAGGGAGAAGCAGGCTCCTCGCTGAGCAGGGAACCCGATGGGGGGCTCTGTCCGAGGACCCTGGGATCATGACCTGAGCCAAAGGCAGACATTTAACTGACTGAGCCACCCAGGCACCCTATGTTAATTTTTTTTTTTTTTAAAGATATTATTTATTTGACAGAGATCGCAACTAGGCAGAGAGGCAGAGAGGAGGAAGCAGGCTCCCCGCTGAGCAGAGAGCCTGATGCGGGGCTCGATCCCAGGACCCTGAGATCATGACCCGAGCTGAAGGCAGCGACTTAATCCACTTAGCCACCCAGGCGCCCCCTATGTTAATTTTTTAACGTGAATTTTTCTGTATGTGTTACATTCAAACTCTTTTTATTTTCATTCATTTTACAGCTAATTTTGTTAGACTTTGGTTAGAATTTTTCTTTTTCCGTTAAATAGTAATTTACTAGGTTGTTAAGCCTATTCAGAATTTTTTTTTAAGTATCAGTAATTTACTGAATTCTTTGTTTGCCTTTAAGTGAATTGCAGAGGGAGTGTTTCCAGAGCTGTGGGTCTTTGTTTTTCTACATAGAGTTAATACCCATCTCATGTGTCTATGCTCCATTACAGAACCATATGCTCCATCTCAGGCTAGAGTGACCTTTCATTTCTGGGATCATAGGGCTTTTCTTGAACTTACTCTCCTAAGTCCCCAGTGGGCAGTAATCTCTGCTTATTATCTGGTTGCTCCCATAGCTGCAGCTTTCCCCCAGAGTTAGCTTTTGATCTTCAGTCTTGCAGAGCAGCACTTCCCTTATAGCTTTAGGAGAATGCAAGATTATAAACAGAGATTCATTTGAAAGCCGTTTTTTTTCCCTAGAGGGTAGTCGAGAACCGAAGAAATCTCTACTGTAGGGTCTAGCAATATAATAATAATAATTAAAGCAAAGTATGGAGGAGGAATTGGACACAAGATTACCAGTTCTTTTGTTGTACGTTTTGGTAATAAGTTTTTTTAACTGATGATACCTTTGGAAAGGTACCACCTTCTGGAGTATATGGAACTTATCCTAATTTTTCCAAACTATTTTCAACCATTTCCAGCCAATTATGTATAACCATAGGTCTTTGGAAAATTTTTTTTAAACATTGGGATCAGTTGAGAGGTAAGACAAATGCATTTGTTAAACATAAGTAATTGTTTGCCCTTTTCTCTTTTTAAAGGTTAAAACTGCTTATAAATGTGCATGTGTCTTACGAGATACCATAAATCCATACCTGTTGCGGAGAATGAAGTCAGATGTCAAAATGAGCCTTTCTTTGCCAGATAAAAATGAACAGGTCTGTAAATCCAGGAGTTACCAACCCACTCCTAATGTGTGGGTATACCTGTCTGTTTATTCTGCTTTTCACATGCAGAATTGGTAAGGCTAACAGGTGTGGTTGCTGTGCTCAGGGCAGCTGGTTTCTATCTGTATACACCTGTATGGGACAAGTGAGCCTGCTGTGGCACCTGCCCTCAGCAAGACTCTTCCTTAGTTCACAGGCTGTGATCTCTGTCCTATTTACACACAGATTCCTGCGGCTGCACTTTTGAACTTACCCATTTTCTTCAAGCCCCAGCACATTCATGCCATAAATCAGAGGTGCCAGGCCTATTCCTGGGAGATAGCAGTGAACAGAGAAACTGCTTGCTCTCCTGGCTCACCTTCGTTCTTGAGGAGGAGAGGCAGTCACAGACACACATGCCACCTGGCAGGTAGTGGTAATGTGGAGGAAACCCTGAGCAGAGTCAGGGGGATAGGGCATATAGGGTGAGGATTTGGGGAAGTGGGCTTCTTCTTCTTCTTTTTTTTTTTTTAAAGATTTTATTTTATTTATTTGACAGAGATCACAAGTAGGCAGAGAGAGAGGGGGAAGCAGGCTCCCTGCTAAGGAGAGAGCCCGATGCGGGGCTTGATCCCAGGACTCTGGGATCATGACCTGAGCTGAAGGCAGAGGCTTTAACCCACTGAGCCACCCAGGCGCCCCGGAAGTGGGCTTCTTAAAAGGGACGGTGAGATGTCTCCTCTCTGATAAACAGACATTTGAGCAGAGGCCTAAAGAAGGTAAAGAAAGCGAATCATGGGGTTCTTAGAAGAACATTCCAGGTTGATGGAAGTGGAAGGGTGTCCGTACCTCCAAGGACCAGCAGGGAGAGCACTGTGGCCTGAGGGCAGGAAGAAGGATGAGAGTACTTGGAGGGAGAAGTCAGTTGGCTAGGTCACCAGGGCCTGCTGTCGTGGTAAAGACTTCAGATTTTACTGTGAGTGAGGAAGCAGTTCACAGGTAGAGGGAGCCAAGGAGTGACGTTGTCTGACTTACGTTGTAGAAGGGGCATTCTTTTAAAGCCCATCCTAGTGTTCTGTTATTGCAATAGATGACTGCACCCTCTTTTCAACATCGAACAGTAAACATATTGTAGATTCTCAGTGTTGAAACTATAAAGGGTCTCGGCGATCTGTCACCAAGGTTGGTTTCATTCCCGCCTCTTCCCTCCCCCCAAACTCATTTCCAAAGTCAACCCTTGATCTCAGCATTCCCCTGACAGGTCTCCCTTTGCCGCCAGTGTCTTAGGCTACAGTGCTCTGTGCCGTGGCCAATCCGAATCCGTCAGTTGTGCTGTTTTGTCCTTTTTCACACGATCACTTTACGCCGCATCCTCATAAATTAGTGCGGCTGGCGTCTGACGGTCTTACTGGCCTCCAGCCGTGGGCACTCTCCACCTCACTGGGTATCGCGCAGCATCGCTGGCTTTGTTTTCCCAGGCTCATCTTCCTGCTGACATACCTTCATGACCCTCTTCCCCTCAAGAATCCTAATTTAGCTTCTTTGTGCCAATTTATTTTCACTATGGGGTCCCAGAATGTCTCTTCTTTATAATCCATGTGGCAGCCAAGGCAAATGGCTTGGAAACAGTTCCTGTTTTCCAGACATGTGCCACTTGTCTTTCCATTCGCATGTGATGTTCCCTCTTCTTAGAGGTTTTTCCACCCCACCCTCCAGCTTTCCCACACACAGAAGTTGTAAGATCCCACTAGGCTCTTGACTAGATCTCCTTGAGATGGGGACTTTGTGTCACCCACCTTAAAGTGCCACGTAACACCTAAAACAGCGATTTGCAGATACTAAGCATCTGGTGAATGATTAGTTCAGTTAACCTTGTGGCAACAGAGAAAAGGCTTTTCTCTGTTGCCATTGTATTTAAAGACTGAAATACAAATTTAAGAAGTGAGGAATTAGAAATACTCAGATTCATATTTTCAAAAGATGACTCAGGCAGCATATGAAAGCATTGGAGGGGAAGGAAAGTGGAGGCAAAGGGATGAGTTAGGTGGTCCTTCCAGAGTCCATAGCGGGGTCGGGAGGGACTGGAGGGATGGGCCTGAGCCGTGGAGGGTGTGGGGCTGGCTGGTGCTTCCCAGGTGTCTGTTTAGATGCTGGGATGGATCTGCTGACAGACACTTCAAAAGGACAGAGCATAGAGGAGATAGTTGTGAGTTGATTCGGGTCATTTGAAGTGTCCATGGCACATCTGCCTGCCCAAAAGGCAGTTATAGGTGGGTCTTGGGTTCTGAGGAGAGTTCTAGGCAGGGATGTAGTTGTGACCTCAGAGCCAGGAAGGTGTGGAAGTTATGAGCAGGGGTGAGGTTGCCCGAGGCACATACACAGACCGAGAGGAAAGAAGTTACAGTGGAGCTGGTATCTGGAGGGGCTAGCTGGGAAGACAGAGGCCTAGGCAGAAAGGCAGGAGGGAGTTGGGGGAAGTGGAAGCATGAGGCCTGGGGACTCGGTGTGACTGACTGCTAGGAAATCATTAGCACTTTCTCAGTGGGTATGCCCTCCAGGCTTGTCCCGGAAGAGGGTGGAAGGTGAGGGTGTGGGGATCGTGAGCACACATAATCCTTTTAGGAAGTAACCCCCACCCCCCGTCAGTTTTTGGAGAGAGTAAGGTGGTGGAGCACTGTCCAGAGGAAGAGGAGAGGGTTTTTAGATCTGGTGTGAAGGTCAGAGGGTTGTCCCAGTTCCCAAACAGGGAACTAGCTGTTCCCCTGAAAATAAATAAAAGAAAAAAAGTGAGGTAGATAAAGTAGATAAATTTTAGGGGGTGAAAATTAGGGAATCATGACTGATAGCTTTGATTTCTGTCTTCAATGTTTTGTCCATTTTTTTGGTCTTGTTTTGTTTTTAAGAGTTTTATTGATTTGAACGGAGGGAGAGTGTGAGAGAGACCGCATGAGCAGGGTAAGGGTGCTGGTAGGGGCAGATGGAGAGGGAGGCAGACTCCTTGTTGAGCGGGGAGCCCGATGAGGAGCTCGATCCCAGGACCCTGGGATTATGACCTGAAGGCAGGAGTCAGTCTTCATGTGGAAGTTTACAAGGCAGAAATAGTAGGTGGCAGAGGGGTAGCTAAAGGAAAATGTCTTGGGTTTATGACTAGCCAAGGAATAGAGTACACATGAAGAAGGAGAGGAGGATTGAGAGGCAGAAAGGGAACATTCTGGCATGGAATAATAGGCAGAGTTGGGCTGGAAGGATGGACAGGTCTGGTAAACTCGTGGACCTGTGCTTTGACCTCTAGGAAAGGGGGCAGGTCAGGTGAGGGTAGGGTCCCTGGTCAGGTGTGCTGAAGTGAAGTGTGAGCGAGGGGCATGTGCTGTCTGAGCGCTTGGAGTCTATGATGGAGGAGGGTTTATGCACCTGGTCCTGAACGTTGTTTTGGGAAGGAAGCCAATCTTCAGGGACTGTTGGAATAGTGGGTGGGGACCAAGAGGTGATGGATGACAGAAGAGGAGGGGCTGATGAGAAGGGTGACTGTGTCTTTGTTTAGCTCTGGGATAGGACACCATTTTGGCTTTTTGAAAGAAGAGGTACATTGTTAATATTGTATAGGTTGTCCTTTTTTGATTAGAAAACTTTGTTGATGTTTTAATTATTTTTTTTTTAATTCTCTGGGTTTTTTTTTTTTTTTTTTCTCTCCCCCATAGGTCTTATTTTGCCGTCTTACAGAGGAACAACATAAAGTCTACCAAAATTTTATTGATTCCAAAGAAGTTTACAGAATTCTCAATGGAGATATGCAGGTCAGAAATGAATTATAGAGCAGGGAAGTGGGGAGGAAAGGAAGCTAGTACTAGTCCTGTTTCACAGTTTCCTCTTGGGGAAAACTAGGGTGTGAACCATCCCTTAATTCAGAGCTGTTGCAGAAGTAAGACAACGTGCAGTTACATTTGAGCACACTTGCCTTTGTCTGTATTGCAGCACCATTTCACTTGAACCCCACATCATGTGGTCTAGCAGAAGAGTAGTGCTAGGTACAGGGTCTGTAACGCTGAGTCCTGCAGGGATGTCTGGTCCTAGCAGAACACAGGGAAGTGGCCCTGGACTGCTGGGGTTAGCAGGGGCCTGAAGGAAGAATTACTATCATAAGTGTTTGTGTAAGTAATAACATTTTATTCAATATTCAGTAATAGATGTTGGTAAAGGTCTGTTCAGTAAGCATATGTAGTGGGTTTATAATCAGCATATACTTTGAAGTTCCATATGAACTAATCAGTTTCTTTGTGCCTCAGGGTCCTAAAGTGTGAATTGTGTTTTATTTATTAGACATACAAAACTTCTTAGTTTTGGGTCTGTCCTCACGGGAGGTACAGCTGAGTAGCAAGCATCTTACTCTCTGAAACACACTTCTTGCTCATACACAGAGATTGCTAAAGAGATGAGTGTGGGTGTCGTGGCTGCTTGTGTCCCGTCATGTCTGCATGCTTTTTCTTCCAGAGGAAGTCATTTCAGTTCTTTTGGCCATAGCTCATCGTTTCTCTTATTTCATCTGTGATTGGCCTCTATGAGAGGTTCTTATATCATTCACATTTATTCATCTCTCCTAAATCTGCCCTTCTCTTCATGTGCCTTCAAGTTGTGAAGCTTCAGGTGGTCTAGATTAGCACTGACCTGTAGATACAGAATGTAAGCTGCATGTGTGATTCTAAATTGTGCTAACAGTCACATTTGAAAAGGTAAAGAGAAGAACAGGTGAAATCAATTTTGGTGATGAATTTTATTTAATTTGATCTAAAATGTCATTTTTTTTTTTAAGATTTTATTTATTTATTTGTCAGAGAGAAAGGAGCAAGAGCGAGCACAGGCAGACAGAGTGGCAGGCAGAGGCAGAGGGAGAAGCAGGCTCCCTGCCAAGCAAGGAGTCCAATGTGGGATCATGACCTGAGCTGAAGGCAGCTGCTTAACCAACTGAGCCACCCAGGCGTCCCTAAAATGTCATTTTTAATATGTAATCAAAAATTTTAGATTGTTCGTGAGGTATTTTACCCTTTTTTCCCTAAAACTATGTCTCCCAAATTGGCTATTTTACATTTGCAGCACATTTCAGATTAGACCAGCTTTCTGTGGCTTGTGGCCGCTGTACTGGAAGCATCGATCTGGAGGCAGAAAGAGGAGTTACACATGACTCTTCGGGGGAGTTCTGAAATATTCCTGATTTATTCAGATTTTTTATTATTTATTTAACTGTTGTTTGCCAGTAGAACTACCTTGGCTTAAATTATGGTTTATCTTTTTCTCCTTGAGCTTTTGTACTTATGAGGTGGATTTGGGTCACACTTGGAAAGCTATGAAGGATGCCTTCCTGCTGGGGCCTGGAGGGCAGGCACCCCCAGTCTCCTGTGCCCTTCTGCTGCGTGAACCACCGCCATATCTCTCCCATTTGTTTATTTCCCATGCAGATATGTTGTCTGATATTCTAATGTATAAGTAGGTGGAACTTCAACCTCTGACTCATATGTTAAACTACAGAACCTTTAATGAGGGGTACTTAGTGTAGTATTTGAATGCATTTGCTATAAGTCATTTGCCTGATTTCTCCAAGTTTAGATGGGCATGACTATTTTTTTAAAGATTTTATTTATTTATTTGACAGAGAGAGAGATCACGAGTAGGCAGAGAGGGAGGCAGAGAGAGAAGGGAAGCAGGCTTCCCGAGCAGAGAGCCCGATGTGGGGCTCGATCCCAGGACCCCGAGATCATGACCCGAGCTGAAGGCAGAAGCTCAACCCACTGAGCCACCCAGGCACCCTGACATTTTTTTATTCACATAAAAGATGAGTTATTTTTTTTATATACTGTGAATTATGTACCTTTTTTCCTAGTAAGAGAAAATAAGTCATTAGCAATTAAATATGACCGGTAGATGTTTGATCCAATAGAATGTTTTTGTTTCTAGAGAACTTGCCTTGTCAAGAAAAGATGAATGAAGGTTAAGGAAGGTTGATTTCTTCTAGCTCCTAATATGCTGTGAATAGGGAGGAAGCTAAGAAGCTGATGAAGAATTACTTTTTTTTTTTTTTACGATTTTTTCATTAATTTTAGAAAGAGAGAGAGAGTGGGTGGGGGGAGGAGGAGAGGGAGAGAGACAAGCAGACTCCATGCTGAGTACAGAGCCCGTTGGGGGCTAGTTCCCATGACCCTGAGATCATGACCTGAGCCTAAATCAGGAATGGATGCTTAACTAACTGAGCCACCCAGGCACCCCAAGAATTACCTTTTTTTTTTTTTTTTTAAGATTTTATTTATTTATTTGACAGAGATCACAAGTAGGCAGAGAGGCAGACAGAGAGAGAGAGGAGGAAACAGGCTCCCTGCGGAGCAGAAAGCCTGATGCAGGGCTCAATTCCAGGACCGGGGGTCATGATCTGAGCCGAAGGTAGAGGCTTTAACCCACTGAGCCATCCAGGTGCCCCAAGAATTACTTTTTAATCTGTGTTACATATCAAATAGTTTCCTTCCTTTCCTTCCCAAGTGAATGTTATTTTATATGGCATAATCCAAATGCACCTAATTCTTTTATACTATAGATTTTCTCTGGACTTGTAGCCCTAAGAAAAATCTGCAACCACCCTGATCTCTTTTCTGGAGGTCCAAAGAATGCTAAAGGTATTCCAGATGATGAACTAGAAGAAGATCAGTTTGGATACTGGAAACGTTCGGGGAAAATGATAGTAGTTGAGTCCTTGTTGAAGATATGGCACAAGCAGGGTCAACGAGTATTGCTGTTTTCTCAGTCAAGACAAGTGAGTATACAGACGTCATACAAGAAACAGTTTGGTTCTTTAAGACTTACAGCCAGTTATGAAGAAAATGGGTTATGATCTAAAATAATGATTCTAAAAGCAAATTCACCTGCTGATACTGAGGGGGCAGCCTGCAAATCTCTCTGGGAGCTTGGCTCTTTCTCTAGAGTTGGTGCCCAGAAGTTGGCTTTCTTAAAAGGCTTACCGTGTGGTTCTAGGGTGTGAGCAAGTCTGGGTCTGAACTCAGGTAGATGATCTATAAGAATGAACAGTAGGGAAAAACCAGATACTCTCGTAGTAGTTAAATTTATCTGCCTCACAGCAAGAAGCCCCTTTTAATTTAAGCCTGTGGGAAGGTATGACTGTTTAGACAGGTGGACCTCACCAAAGGTGTGTATTTGATTTTTAAACTCTTACCCTACCCCCTCTCCCAACCAGATGTTGGACATCCTTGAAGTATTCCTTAGAGCTCAGAAGTATTCTTATCTCAAGATGGATGGTACCACTGCAATCGCTTCAAGACAGCCACTGATTACAAGATACAATGAGGTGACAAGGGAATTGAACAGTAGAGCCCAGTAGTGCTACTCCATGCAGAGGAAGGAAGAGCAGCCTCACCCACCTGAGCCCTGCTTACCCTGGGGATGGGCAGCGGGTAGAGGGGGACTTTTTGCTTTTACCCCTGGGCATTGCTGGGTTTTGTGTGTGTAAACAAAGAATGTATTCCTTCTTGAAAGCCACCTCTGAGCTATTGCCACTATAATTGGTATTAAAAGCAGAAGCTGTGAGATGACGTCTTGACTGACCAGCGGTCTCTAGGACGTAACCCGTCCTTTGTATTGGGAGGAGGTTTCAGTGTGTAGAATATGTAAAGACTTTTGTGAAGAGCTGAAACTAGTCCTAACTGTGCGTGCTCAGTGTTGTGTGTCTTACTCTAGGACACATCCATATTTGTGTTTCTTCTGACTACGCGGGTGGGTGGCATAGGAGTCAACCTGACGGGGGCAAACAGAGTCATCATCTACGATCCTGACTGGAACCCAAGCACAGACACACAGGTAAAGGGGTGTACGCGTGACAGACAGTTGAGTGGCCAGCCCTTGGGAGGCGCCTTTGGTGCCCCTGTCAGCTTGTGCACGGAGTCCCCATCTTGGTTGTTGCCTAGTCCTAGGCATGGAGGAAGGCACCCTCGGCCTCACAGGTGGGCAGAGTCGCCAGCAGTTTTATCTGTAGCGTTCACCGTGTCTGGGGTACAAAGAGAGAGGGCAAAGTTACAGACACACATTGTTTTTCAGCTAGAGGTGGCTCAGCCTGTCTTTATCATCTGCCTGTTTTATCTTCCTTAATGGGCCTGAGGTGTATTTAGTGGCATTAGGCAGAATTTGGGCTTTGGCAGGGGGAGGAAGTGGCCGGCTCTGTTTCTTTCAGTAAGCGCTTGTCGGGAAGGGTGCTTGTTGAAGTGCATCTCTCTGCCCTAGGCCCGGGAGCGAGCATGGAGGATCGGCCAGAAGAAGCAAGTGACTGTGTACAGGCTTCTGACTGCCGGCACCATTGAGGAAAAGATTTACCACCGGTCAGTATAGGTGGCGGCTATGACTGGAGAAGGCTCTCCTGGCTGCCGTGCGGTCAGGGTATAGCTATAGAAGTACGCCACCAGGGTTGAGCTGGGAATTTTTTAAATGCATTGCTTTAAAAAAGTGTTCTTACCTTAGAGCAATAGTTGCTGTAATTTAAAGGATATGTGGGGGGGTTTTGTTGTTTCATTTTTGTATTTTTTTCTTTCTCACTAAGCTTAAATGGCTTATTGTGAGTTTTTTAAAAAGTCTTTGAACTTGATCATTCTTCTACCTTATAAAACCTCAAGGACTGCTTGTGTGTCAACTTCATCTTAATTATTCTTTAAGAGAATGTACATACCTACTATAGTGTACCATCTTTTTTTCATAAAATTTTTTTTTAAGATTTTATTTATTTATTTGACAGGGATCACAAGTAGGCAGAGACAGAGTAGGCGGGGCAGGAGGGGGTGGGAAGCAGGCTCCCTGCTGAGCAGAGAGCCCGATGTGGGGCTCGATCTCAAGACCGTGAGATCATGACCTGAGCTGAAGGCAGAGGCTTAACCCACTGAGCCATGCAGGTGCCCTTTTTTGTAAAAATTTTAAGAAGCAACAAAGTTGAAATACATCCTGGAATTTTCACACACTTTTGTGTTCAGCATGGTCTTTGGCTCAAATGCCCCCGAGGGGGAGGTTGACCAGGACACCTGTTTCTTTTTCCATCTCTCTGTACGAGTAGGGGTTTAGACAAGGGGCTCTTAAACAATGGGGTGGAGATACGGCCACCTTCTCCCCCTCCTCTGCCGGGATTTTATTCTTGAACTGCACCCCAGCTCTTAAAGGGAAGCTCCCTGCTTTCCACTAGGCGCCGGGGCAGTCCCGGATAGGTGTGTGTTCTTCCAGGCCTTATTCTGAGAGGGCAGGGACGAGCTGCGTCCTGTGAGGGAGAGTGTCCTCTCAGATGTGCTTTCGCCTCAGGGTGGGAGGGGGTGTGGGAAGGGGCAGAACTGCTTTGTGGGGGTGTCTGGGCAAGAGTGATGATGGTGTGGAGCTTTAGCATGCAGTGTGAATCAGCGGGAGGAAGGTGGGTGAGATGGCTCCCAGGGAAGGCTTCGCAAAGGCCCGGTAAGAGAGTATCCTGAATCCCATCACAGAGGGGTCCTGAGGAGGGCAGGGCAGAGGACTCTTGGCCCAGGAGTCCTGGAATCCAACTCTTTCCAGCTTGGAGAGGCTGCCAGTCATGTGATTTTGCATGTAGAAAGGTGATTCCTGACATGTGACGTTGGAGATGAAAAGCTCACTGGGTATAAATAATAAGATACTCTTTGTAATTTAAATTCTGTCAAGCACGGGAGACCACCCGATATTTTATGAACTTTGAATTGTAATTTTCCAAGGCGGAAAGCTTGGGGATGATGTACACATTTGTCCAGCTACAGTTACCCTATCTCTCATGTTGTTTTATAGCTGGGATTTCGAGCTGCAGCTAAACATTGTTTTATACCAGTTTAATTTTTATCTTTTTAGACAAATTTTCAAGCAGTTTCTGACAAACAGAGTGCTAAAAGATCCAAAGCAAAGGCGATTTTTCAAGTCCAACGATCTTTATGAGCTGTTCACTCTAATGAGTCCTGACCCTTCCCAGAGCACTGAAACAAGCGCGATTTTTGCAGGTATTACATAAAATAATTTCACTTAAAATCATAAAGTACAGAAGAATTATGTCATGTAACTTGAGCGTGTTTTTCCTCTTTACAGGAACTGGCTCAGAAGTTCAGGCTTCCAAGCTCCATTTAAAAAGAAAACTTCCGCCAGCCTTTGGAGCAGACCATGATGTTCCAATATGCAAAAAGTTTCCTGATTCTACTGCATCCACAAATGAGGCCCCATCCACTGAAGAGAAATCTACAGTGACAGGAGCCGAAGTAAATGCAGTAACTTCTGATCCAGGTGATCCTTTGAAAGATGCCCCCCAAACACCTCGGAATCTACCTGGCAGTGACGGGCCTGGAGAAGGGACGAACGCAGTGTCTAGCCTGGAGGAGTCATCCGTGATTAACGGACCGGGGGATTGTCCAGATTCTTCGAGAATCAGCAAAGCAGATGGCGTCTCTAGAGAGGAAAGTATCAATGAAAAGCAGGGTCTTTCTGACAGAAGAGAAAACTGCCAGGCTCAGACAGAGCCTCTTTGGGAGAAAAAGCAATTGGAAGGTAATTTTTGTAAGCACAAGTCAAAAACGAAACATAGTGCGCCAGAGGAGGAGCCCCCGGAGCAGCCTGGGAGGTCTGCGCAGAAGCTGAAGAGCTCTAAGCATCGCAGAGATGCCAAGTTTGAAGGAACTCGGATTCCACACCTCGTGAAGAAAAGGCGGTACCACAAGCGGGACAGTGAAAATGAGAATGAGACCAGCGAACAGAGCAATGATGATTATGTCTTGGAAAAGCTTTTCAAAAAGTCAGGTAATCTTTTTGCTGACTTTGCCACAGGTGTGCTAGGAACAGAAGAGGAGTAGGCTGTTTCTAGCAGTACAGCCTTGACTCCCAGGGCAGAGTGGGCTCGAGACTGGAAGTATCTGTTCTTCTAAAATTCAGATTTGAAATGTATCGACATTTTGAAAATCGTATGCACCTCTTTCTTCTGAAGACCTAGAGGAGTTTGAAACTCTGGAGCACAACAGTACTTGACTTACAGCCACACACAAGAGGGGTGCAGTGTGCTCTGAGTAGGTTTGTACTACTGACCAGTGATAGGAAGTTTCTGTATGTGCTGTCTTCGCCTGATTTTCCAGCTGCAGATTAAGTAACAGCCGTGGGGGAGAGGCAGGGCAGGCTTCCTGGAAGTCAGAAGGCTTGATTGCTCCTGTCAAAGGAGAAAACTCAGGAAAGCAGACTCAACAGTTGCTCAGAACTGGGGAGGATAGGCAGTCCTGCACAGCATCGTCATCCTTGGGTTGTCATCCTGTTCAGGCCTTGGCAGTCACTGTGTTCACAGCATGATGGCCCCGAGTTACCAGAGATCACTGTCTGTCGTTCTTGGTGCAGGAGGGCCAGGTTTCTGTATGGCATTTCAGGAAAAACCATTTGGGCCTGAAACTTTTTTGTGAGGTAGTTTACTGATGACTTTCTGTTTTTTTCTATAATTCCTGGTCTATTTTCCTAGGAAATGATCTCTTTTGACTAATTTTCAAGTTTATTTGCTCAGAGGCATTGAAAATATTCTTGTAATAATTTTTTTAAAATTTGTTCCTGTCTCAAGATATTTTCTCCCTTGTCATTTCTAATTTTGTATATTTCCTCCACCCCTTTTTTGGTCGGATTAAGCTAGTGGTTTGACTATTTTGTGATTTTTTTTTTTAACATAAACCAGCATTTTAATTTATTAATTAGGTCTATGGTTGTTCTCTATCTCATTAGTTTTTGCTTTTATCTTTATTACTTTCTTCCTTGTGCTTTTGTTTTTGTTGTGTTTTGGTGAGGTTTTTTTTGGCTGAACTTTTATAAGACTCTTTGACTTGGAAATTTAATTCATTTGTTTTTATTCTTTCATTTCTATTGATATATAAATATTTAAGGCTGTGAATTTTCCACTGGTGCCTGCATTAAGTTCTGCTGATAAGTAGCACTTTCATGATCATTACTTTTTAAAAATTCCATAATTCTGGTTTATATTTTTACATTTTTCCTTTGAATAAAGAATTGATTAATAGGAGGCTTTAAAATTTTCCAGATAGCAGGGATGTTGAAATTGTGACAAAGGCATTATACTTCGGTTATTACAAAACGGGGATAGTGACTGGTCCCTACCCTAGGGTAGTGATGAAGGTGAGTGGCAGTGGCATTTGTAAAGTCCCTGGGTCATGAGAGTCACCTCGGCAAATAACTGAAAATGTTCATTGTTTTTTCCCTACCCACAACATACTAGACTATACAAAGGAAAAAAATGTGACTGTGTACAAACTGAAACAACATGTCACTGTTCCCTTTGTTCTTGCTAGTTGGAGTGCACAGTGTCATGAAACATGATGCCATCATGGACGGAGCCAATCCAGATTATGTGCTGGTGGAGGCGGAGGCCAACCGGGTAGCCCAGGACGCCCTGAAAGCGCTGAGGCTCTCTCGCCAGCGGTGTCTGGGGGCAGCGTCTGGTGTTCCCACCTGGACGGGCCACCAGGGCATTTCTGGTGCGCCAGCAGGAATCAAGTAAGAGATGACTGCCTTGCCATGCACGTGAGGAGGCCAGACCACCTAGGCTAGGAGTACAGCCAGAGCAGGCGTGGTAGAAAATTGCTCAGGGAGCAATGGGGTCACCCAGATTTGGAGGACATGGGGAACGACATATAATCTTACATTTTGCCTTACATTGTCCCCTGCTTTCCAAAGCTGAGTTTTCAGGGAAAGGAGACATGGTCTGTTTTGTTTAAGAGATGATGTTAAGAATAAGATAACAGAATAGCGATTACACTTTAATGAAATGGTTAGCCAGTGTTCAGCAGTCAGTGACCACTGTGCTATTCGGTATATTCGTTTAGAATAATCTTCCTACCTCGAATCTGAGGATAGTCTCCATCCTGTGTTGAATAAGATATTGAGTGGTTCTTACTTGAAATGCAGCAGTTACTTCCTAGGAGGGTAAAGTAGAAAAATTAAAGGGAATGAGCATTGTGGCTATGAAAGAATAACCTTGCAGAAGAAAACTTTTCCAGGAAAAGATTAAGTTGTCGAAAGGGCATTTTCATGTCTAAGTCACAAAAGCAAACGTTTTATCTACTGTGATTCTTTTCCTTATTTAGGAGTAGATTTGGTCAGAAAAGGAATTCCAACATCTCTGTGCAGCACCCTTCTTCAACAGGCTCAAAGGAGAAATGCCAGGTAATACAATGGCCTAGCTGCTTCTCTTGTCGGAGACTTACGTGACTGCATTGCCATGAAAACTTCACCTGAGTCAAATGTGAGGAAAAACACTGGCATAATGACACCTGGTGTGTGTGTTGTAGGCTCTGATTAATGAAGCACTTACATTTGAAGCTAAAAGGACCAGTCAACTTTGTAAAAGACCAAGTATTAACCTCAAATCTATAGCGGAATGTGTTTTGGCCTGAGAAAATTAACACAGGAGATAGGTGATGTGTGAGTTGCTGCCCATTCTGCCTGCCCCATCCAGAGGTGAAGTACCAGCTCCAGAGAACACTACCCTCTAAAACGAAGGTGGAGAAAAGCCCTTCGAATGTTGTGTGTAATGTACTGGCTGCTGGAGCCTTGCGCCCGTCTCTCCCCGTCCCGTAACCCTGATGCCTTGAGTGCTTCACTGAGTAAAGATTAGACCAAACCCTGTCATTCAGTGCTCTCTTTGGTCTTTTCTAGTCAAGGGCTATGTTGCTGATAAAAGTTGGCATAGCAAACCTTTTTTGACTTCCCATGTTAGGTTCTTTTGGCAGTAGGGATGTGGAAAGAAGTTAGATTTGTGTTGTTGTTCTAGGGCAACTCACATGAGGTGCAAAGAGGGAAAGAGTCAAAAGACTGAAAAGTGAGGAGAAGGAAGCGCAGCTGTGTAACAGCTTCTTGTCCTGCAGTGCCGCGGTCAGGGTGGATTTGGGAGTAAGAGCAGGAGAAGCCTACAGAACCCGCGCCTCCTGGAACCGGCTTTCCCGCCGAAGGGAGGCTCGGTGCTCCCACCCTCCCCTCCCTCCTCTCACCGCACAGAATGGTGATGAAGTGAAGAGTAGTTTGGGGGATTTGGGTTTTTTCCAGAAATGTTCTTTAATGTTGGGTGGATTTCAGTGCTTGTCTCTCGCCCCCTCCCCTTTTTGTTTGATGATCTCTCATTCTTTGCTGTCAGCCTCATTGCCTGGGGCCCGAGTGTTCGACTGTGGTCTGTGGCTCCTCGGGGCCTTTGGGGAAGTAGTGGGAGCATGAACTAGAAGCTGGCGCATCACTGCAATGTTGTTCTTTCTTCAGGACGGTGTCACAAGAAAGGATGGGAAGGATAATGCTTCCGAGCACTTCAGTGGGAAAATGGAAAATGTAGAGTATTCACCTGCAGCCCTCTCTTCGTCTTCACTGTTGGCTAAAATGAGAGCTAGGAACCACCTGATTCTGCCAGAGCGGCTGGAAAGTGAAAATACACACCACGAGGCATCTGCGCCACCACCCTCCACCACCGAACATGATGACCTGCTGGTGGACATGAGAAACTTCATCGCTTTTCAGGCCCACGTGGATGGCCAGGCCAGCACTCGCGAGATACTGCAGGAGTTCGAATCCAAGTTATCAGCCTCACAGTCTTGTGTCTTCCGAGAACTGTTGCGAAATCTTTGCACTTTTCATAGAACTTCTAGTGGTGAAGGAATTTGGAAACTTAAGCCAGAATACTGCTGATCAACATTACTTTTTAAACTTTCAATTTCCTAGTGGGAATTTCTGATTATTAATCCTATGATTAATAATCATGTTTGTCAACAGAAGTTGGCTGCGTCTGTTTACTTTGATATCTACCTCATAATTTAAAACTTTAAGGAAGAAGAAATTCATCTCTAAAACTTAAGTTTTAAAAATACTTGGGTTGATTTTTTTATTTTGGCACTATGAATTATGTTACAAAATCAGGGACCTAACAGTTAATGCTTGGATCACATTTGTTCCTTCACCCAAAAGATGCCATCAGGGAGCCCACTACCACTCATTTAGATGTTTGTAGGCAAGAAATCTCAAGAATTCTTTTTATTGGTGCTAAAAACATGTCTTACGTTCAGTCAGACCTAGTCAATAAATTAGCTCACCAATATCTGATAACAGATACTTAACTTTTGGTGCATAGCTTTTAAATGTTTAAATTTATCATTTGCCACCCATAAACAAATGAGACTTACTGTCTTGAATATATTAATTGCCTTTAAACAGTCTTCCTTTTAAGGTACTGTAAATCGGCAGGCATTTTCACTAGTAAAGCATGAAATAGCTCGGTAATAAATAACGGGGCCTGTCCTTGCAGAAGGTTGTAGTGTACTCAGCTTACATTGGCTTAACTTGAAGCAAAGGACATCTTTTTTCCCTCTATGGGGACTGTTGGTTTTAGGAAAATAAAATATATTGTCTTAAAAAAGTACACAAATCTTAAGCAGAATCAAAAGTGAGTACAAATAAAAACACACACAGGCATACAAACGTCACTTCGGACCACAGCGGTGTGCCACCATTACCATGTCATGACCACTGCTGTGGCCCCTTCTCTCTGCTTACGTGCTGGGAGGGGACTTGGAGCATTTTTTATTTTATTTACTGTTTGCTTCTCTAAGGATGCTGATTACTTTGTATTGGGCACCATCACTCTCCTTACGTATTATCTTCTGTCCAGTTGTGTCCACCTCTCTTTGTCCTTTGCCTTCCCTGCGATGCTCCTGTTCTATACGTTTGGTTTTCAGCTGTTTTCTGGCTGTTGCTTATGCATTTATAGTTCTGTGATGGTGTTGTTTCGATCCTCAGTTTATTTTCTTAGCTTCGATTTTCTTGTTTCCCTCTCTCTGATGTTTTATCGTTTCAGCCCTCAAGTCTTGTTTTCTTAAATTCATTACATTACTTAAATTTCTTCTCGAGCTGTCACAGTGGAGTTCTTTCTTGGGCTTGTTCTCTGTGGCAGGCTGTTTTTCCTCTCTGCTTTCTCGGTATCGTGTATCATGCTCGCCTTCCTCCCATGCCGTTTCTTTACACCTTGTTTATGTCGTGAGCAGCTCCGTCCATATCTGTATGCCCTTCCCGGTGACCCAGACAGAAGGGGTTTGGGGTTTGGGAGTGGGGAAGAGCCTCTGCTGGGCTCCACACAGCTCTGGTTGGAGGATTTGCGTTTTACCCCGCCATTCTGGAGATTTTGTTAAATAGCTCGGGCCAAAGAATCCTAGAGGTAGGGAGGAGATGTTCTAGAGTTATGATTCCCACCAGGATTTTTTGCTGCTCTTTAAAAACATTCTGGCTTATTCATCTTATTCTGTCTTTAGAGTGATTTATGTATTAGGGGAAGAAGATTCTATTATTTTCTTCGTCCTCCTGTCATTATCTGGAAGTCATAGAAAGGATTTTTAAATAGCGCAATAAATCTTAAACTTGAGAATTTGGCTCAGAAGGGAGTCAAAACTCATGACTTTTGTTTCTGGGAAGTTCTTTTTTTATTTTTATTTTTGTAATCATTAGCCTGTAAGGAAATCGCTTCCCCCTTGTTCTCAGATTGAATGCAGTTCATTTTCTCATTCTTTCTGAAATTCGAACTCTACTGAGTGAGAGGTTTATCTTTGTGTTTTTTTTTTTTTAAAGGATATTATTTATTTATTTGAGAAACATTGAGAGCATGAGCTGGGGAGAGGGAGAAGAAGACTCCCCACTGAGCAAGGAGCTCAATATAGGGCTGGATCCCAGGACTCTGGGATCATGACCTGCCCAGCACCCTGGGATCATACCTGAGCCGAAGGCAGGTGCTTAACCGACTGAGCCACCCAGGTGCCCCAAGAGTGAGAGAAGTTGTAACCTTCTCATCAAATAGAAAATGCCATCAAAAGTTATGCAGTAAAAGCAGGGTGGTCCTCACTCTCGTTCTTAGCTCTGCACCAGCATGCTGGGGACCTTGGGCAGGTTGCCATCCTGCCTGTGTCTCAGTGTGGACATCTATAAACATTGTCATCATGCCTCCCGGGTGGAGAGGCTTAGAGGAAGATACTCTAAGTGTAACGTTTTTAACAATAGAGAGTAACTTATTCGTTTAGATAGAATCTACTTTTTGGAACTTAAAAAGCTTCGTACGATGTAGACAGATTTAATGTATTTAATGTTTTATATTGGTATCAAGCAACAATAAAGGATTTTTAAATTTTGTGAAATTTTAAAACTTCCTAGTTCATACGTAAATATACTATCACCGTTAAAACAATTTCAGGCAATTAGTGTATATTTATTCCAGGTTGTTTTTCCATGTATTTGCAAATACATGTGGCAGAGATGGCTGCTGTCATGTGTTTCCCCCTTTCTTTACTGACGAATTTCTGGAGTTTTGCCAGGATGCCAGGCTGCTTTGCTGAAGACTTGGCTTCCCCACCTCCTTTGCAGTTAAATTGTGGCCCCATGACTAGGCCATGGGCTGTGAATGGAACTTCCAGATTGGGCCCTTCAATAAGGGATTGGGTGTATATTCTTCTGCTGGCTGAGATTCTGGGGGACCTTAAGCAGTGATATGGGAGCTGTGGAGCTGGTGTGTTGAGGCTGGAGAAGCTGGCCTGCCAGCCTTGAACTGCTTTCCTTCCACCTGTTACCTGAGAGCAAAATAAATTGCTGACTTGCTTAAACCACTGTCTTTTGGAGTCTCTTTATTATAGAACCAGCTTTGTCTTACAGGTGTGATTTAACGTAGATGCGATTACATCATCCTTACTGCTTTTTTTTTTTTGTCTTTTTTTTTTTTTAAAGGATTTTATTTATTTATTTGACGGACAGAGATCACAAGTAGGCAGAGATGCAGGCAGAGAGAGAGAGAGAGGAGGAAGCAGGCTCCCCGCTGAGCAGAGAGCTTGATGCAGAGCTCGATCCCAGGACCCTGGGATCATGACCCGAGCCGAAGGCAGAGGCTTTAACCCACTGAGCCACCCAGGCGCCCCTCATCCTTACTGCTTTGCAGCTAACTTTTCATTTAATGTTACATGCAAGACATCTTTTCTTCCTTGCAATTAATAGCTCTACCTTCATGGAACTGCTGGATTAAAAATGACATAGATTTTTATTTTTTTTAATTTTTTTTAAGATTTTATTTATTTTATTTATTTGACAGAGAGAGATCATAAGCAGGCAGAGAGGCAAGCAGAGAGAAAGAGAGGAGGAAGCAGGCTCCCTGCTGAGCAGAGAGCCCGATGCGGGACTCGATCCCAGGACCCCGAGATCATGACCCAAGCTGAAGGCAGAGGCCCAACCCACTGAGCCACCCAGGCGCCCCTGACATAGATTTTTAAATTTAAAAAATTTTTTTAAAATTTAAATTCAATTTAATTAACATATACTGTCTTATTAGTTTCAGAGGTAGAAATCAGTGATTCATCATTTGCATATAATACCCAGCTTTGCCCGTTACTTCAAGAGTCCTCCTTAATACCCATCACCCAGTTACCCATCCTCCCATGCCCCTCCTCTCCAGCAGTCCTCAGTTTGTTCCCTCTTGTTAAGTCTCTTATGGTTTGCCTCCTTCTCTGTTTTTTCCTTATTTTTCCTTCCCTTCCCCTATTTCATCTGTTTTGTTTCTTAAATTCCACATAATTGAACAGAATGATATTTTTAGTTTTATTTTTTACTTTTTTTGTTTTTCTTTAAATGTATTTGACAGAGAGAGATCACAAGTAGGCAGAGAGGCAGTCAGAGAGAGGGAGAAGCAGGCTCCCTGCAGAGCAGAGAGCCCGATGCAGGGCTCCATCCCAGGACCCTGAGATCATGACCTGAGCCCAAGGCAGAGGCTCAACCCACTGGAGCCACCCAGGCGCCCCAGACTTTTAGTTTCAATTGATGTAGTGAAACTGCTTCCTTCCATTTATACCCCATAAGAGGATCCATTCTCCACAACCTTAGCAGCAATCAGTCTTGGGAGGTTTTTGTTTTTGTTTTGTTCTTAACCAATCTTATGGTTGAAAATACCTTGTTTGAACTCCAGTTACCCTGATTACTTAGACAACCAAACATTTCCATGTTCGTTGACCATTTGTAGATCTTGAGTATTCCCTGCTCACATCACATTTGTCTAGTTTTACAATTGGTTATAAATCTTATAGGGTCCCTCCCCCCAAACAAAAATGAAAAGGTGATCACCCCCAATTATTATTGAAGTTTTGCATTCTTCATTCGTTTCTCTGTTCATTCTTTCTATCCATCTAAAATGCCAAGTTTATTGTATGCTAAGTTGTCTTATTCCTGGACCAATGGATCCAGATGTCTATTCTGCCAACCACACTCTTCACTGTTGACTTTGTACTATGTTTTGCTATCTACAGGCAAGTTCCTAGTCCTTCTGGTCCTCTGCCCACCTTGTCTTGTGCATTTCCTGTTCCAGGTAAATCTTACAATCAGTTTATTATGTCACTAAGATTGTGTTGCTCTTTTGATTGAGATTGCATTAGTGTATTTATTGATTTGAGGATAATAGGCTTCTTCAAATTAACATAGTTTTTCCCATTAGGATCATGATAGGTCTCATTTTCTTAGTTAAAGTATTTTATATTCTTGGATAAAATTTTAATAACTTTCTTCATAAAGGTCTTGCCACATTTCATATTAGGCTTATTCTTAGGTCTTAAAGATTTTTTAGTTTTGGTTGGGGCTCTTTCTTACATAAAAATGTGGAGAATTAGAACATCCATGTATATACTTTGCATATGATGTCATTTATCATACAGAAGTTTTAAATTTAAGTATAGCCAAATTCAGTCTTTCCCCTTTTTTTGTTTCCTTATGTAAGAGTCCCTTTCCTAATCTGAGGTCATGATTACATTCTCATAAATTTTCTTATAAATTCATATAGATAGTTACTTTTCCTAACACCTCTAAAAAAATGCCCATTCTTTCGCTCTGATGTGTGAAGCTATCTCTATGATTATATCAAATTTTCATATAATTATGGGAATATTTCTGGGCTCTGTATTCTGTACAATTGGTCCACTTAGCTACCTTTGCTAATAACCCACTGTTCTAGTCATTGTAGCCTTAGAATTGTTTATCAGATGGTAGAATGTTTCCTCTCATCTTCCAAAGATGCCGTAGTTCCTGACTCCATGTAAATTTGAGGATCAGGTCGCCACATTGAGATTCTTGTTATCAAAACTGTAATGATTTATACAGATTATTTGGGGAGGACTGTTGATGATCTAGAGTTTCTTATCAAGGAATGGGAGCTATTACCCCATTTTTAACACATTTATGAAGTCATAATTGCACTATTATCTTTCATTTATAATAAGGTCATACACGTCTTACATTTATGCCTGATTATCCTATGGTTTTGGTTGCTATAGTAAATGACATTAAGAAAAGACGTTTTCTAGTTCACTATAATACTGTTGATTTTACATACTGGTGTGTATCTAGCAATCTTGCTGACATATTTTACTAATTTACAGCTGATTCTTTTATATATTCTAGGTACTCTAAATACCATCTACAAATAATGTCAGGATTGTCTCTTGCTTTCCAATACTATTACCTCCTTTTTTTTTTTTTCTTACTAGTTCTGCTAGCCAGGAATGGTGAACAGTGTGGCCACCTATGTCTTGTTCCTACTTGAATGAAGGATACTTCCCATGTGTCAAGTATATTTGCACTGTTTCAGTTGATAGCTTTTATTTTTATTAAGATTTTATTTATTTATTTGAGAGAGAGAAAGCCCAAATGGGAGAGGGAGAAGCAGGCTCCCTGCCAAGCAGAGAGCCCGACACAGGGCTCGATCCCAGGACTCTGGGCTCCTGACCTGCGCTGAAGGTAGAGGCTTAACCCATTGAGCCACCCAGGCAGCCTGGTTGATACTTTTTAATGAGTTAAGAATTTTTATTCCTATTCCTAGCTTGCAAATTATTTTTTATTAAGAACAAATGTTTAATTTTTCAGTTGCATTTTCTGTATTTACTAAGATGATAACTTTAATTAAAGATTAAAGATAAATCTTTAATCTGCTAATGTTCTGAATTGGTTTAGTAAAGTAGATCTAGTTTTCATTGAGTCAACTCATTCAGTCATTCCCGGGATGTTCTCAATACTGGGTTGGAGGTGGGAGATCCCTATTGGGTCACGAATATTTTGCTTTTAATATATTGCTGGTTTCAGCTAGCTAATATTTTGATTTTAACCCTTTGGTTCATAAAGGAATTTGCTCTATAGATTTTTTTTTCTCTCATTTTTTGATGTGCTCTGTGTATGTGGGGGGGTTGGTTATTCTACTTTTGGAAAATGAGATGGGACACTTCTCACCTTGTTCTAAGACGAGTTCGTACCACATAGGAGTTACGTGAACCTTAGACAGAATGCTTGTAAAGCTCTGGGTTTGGTGCCTTTGGGTGAATGCTTCAGCTTGATCCTTAGGCTCATCTAACTGATTTTTTAACAGTATCCGTTCTGTTCCTCTGTCTACGCCTTCCTGTGATTCTTTTAATTTCACAATATATTGTTCGTCTCTAAGACTTGTCATTGGTCCTTCTTTCCTAATAGTCTGTTCCTTTGTCAGGGATGCGGTAGGATTTCTCGTCCCACAGGTGTGTTCATTACCTTTAATACCTCCTTTCATTTCCTCTAGTCA